TATATTATCAATACTTATTTCATAGGTAGGATTAAAAAAATTGTCATATAACAAAATTTATTAATTTACACAAATCGTGCAACGCACAGGTGAACACACTAGTTTAATTATATTTAGAGGTTTTCCAATATGGGTTATTTTTTATTTTTTAGTTTGAATTTTTGTGACACCCCAGACCACAAGATTTGTGTTAGAATATTTAGGATAAAATAATGAGATTATATTATTGATCATTAAAATAAAAGACTATATATAGGCAATACAAAACAGACTCGATAGACTAAAATCTAAATAATTTAATTTATGGATAAGATCAAATATTCTAACTATAAATCTATTAAATTTAAAACTGAATATCTAAAATATCTTAATAATATGCTGGCCGGACGTGTTTATTCTCAAATTATGCTAGAAAAATCGTGCTTCCTGCTAGTGGACTTCCAAAAAAACTATGCATATTATTAATATGAATAGTATATTCAATTGACTTAATTTATATTCAATTTCGGATGGCCTAATATCGATCCATACACAAAAATTGCCTTAGCACCAGTCCAACTCCGAAATATCACAATTTTTTTTTTTTTGTAAACTATTGTTTGATTATGACATTTTTTTGAAAAAAAAAAATAATACTCCCTCCGTCCACTGATAAAGTATACATTTACTTTTAGTGCGGTGTTTAAGAAATAATAGTATTTTAATTATAGTGGGTAGTTAAAAGTAGTGTAATGATATTTTTGCCCTTGCTTTTTGATATAAAAGTAATGATGTGATATAAAGTAAGGGTATTTGTGGAAAAAAAAGTAAGGTAACTTATATAAAATCATTGAAGTATATATATATATATATATGTGTGTAAAATCAAATTCCAAAAGGGCATGACCTTCTTTTGATGATTTTTGTTCGAGAAAATAATGCTTTAATACGTGTATACGGTAATTGAATAGTAGAAAATTTAAAAAATTATACCCAACCAATCAAACCCTTAGAAATTGTTTTCTTGATATATTTTTAGTCATTTTTACTATATAATTCCCATGATTTTTTTTTATAAAAATACCTTATTAGTATCTACTTGAGTTTGATTTCAGTTTATTTATAATGCAATCCTTATAATTTATGTAAAAATATTATTTCTTCTAATAAAATAATATATTTATATAATTATTTTAAATAAAAACCACAAACCCGAGACAATGACACAATCCTAAAAAATTATAAATCGGCCCTTCAATTTATAAGAAATTAATGTAGATACCAATATTGTAATATAATATGAATATTTTTTTTTCTAAAAGAAAATGACTTTTGTTATTTTTAAATAATATGAAAATTCTCCTGAGTTATTTTGGTATATAAAAAAATAGTGTCTTAATTTTTACAGCCCGGAACTACACTAATTGACCCCAAGTTGAATTTTTTATAATTTTTGTAGTGTTAAAAATTATTAATTTTTATGTATTCATATGCAATTTACCACTTCAAAACTATTCAAATTCATACGTAATTTTCTCATTATTTTTATTTAAATTTATTAGTTAAATATGAAATAAATTATAATATTCCTTCATTCATGGATTTAGATGCTAGTTTTGTCACTACTTGTAGCAAAGACTTTCCAAAAAATATATATATATTTGAGGAAATGTAAAAATATGAACTCTTACTCTTTCAATTAATGTGAGATTTTTTTATTCCAAGAATGCGAGTTATTTACTCAACCGTACAAGAAACATATCGTTTCTCCTCGGTTTTGAATGGTTGTTTAATTTGATACAATAATTCAACAGAGAATTGATTGGAGATAGGAAATAAATGAGTTTCAACCGAAGAGGATGATCAAGCTCTGAGCAGCTCGGCTATATGGTCGTTGTTGATACGCATTTGTAACGACGTAAACCTGTGGAGGTATTATCTAAGGTAAACCATGATAGGAATTTGGGGTTGAACAAATTGTGATTGTTTATGTTCTATAATCAGTATTGATTAGTGTAATCTCTCCTTGATTGGTTCCCCCGAATGTAGATTGGTTGATAATCGAACAGATCAACAAATACCTTGTCTCATTTGTTATTTTGAGTTCTGCATTTTATTTGCTGTTAAAGTGTTTTTTTTTCTAACTGTGAAGTGACCACACTTTGGGGGTTGACCATTTGTTGGTGTTCAAAGGAGATTTTTTCGAAAAATAAAATTCGATATCAAAATTATTTATCGAAATAAATTCGGTAATCTCAACAATTTTATCGAAATAAATTCGATAATCAATTTATCAAAATAAATTTGGTAATCACAATAATTTTATCGAAATAAATTCTATAATCAATTTATCAAAATATATTCGATAATCACGTCGAGTCGAAGTAGAACCTCTTTCCGTAAAAACGAATACGCCCCGGTAGTGCCTCCGGTTCATGGCGTAACGTTCTCAAAGATAAAACGACGTTCGTCTCCAAATTAGGTGGGACCTCAATATTTCGGAGCTCTAACTAACTAAAATGAGGTGAACTATGAGCAATGTCAGGAGGCTTAATTAAACAAGGGAGTTTCCGAAGCTCGCGGAAAACTCGCCGAAAATGGTTGCCGGAGATGAGAGGGAGAGAACTTGGAGTCTCTTCTTGGTTTTGGTGTGTTTAGAAGAATGGGTGGAGATGACCTTTTATGGACACTTCACCCCGTGGGAAATAAATTTCCCGAATCGAAATCGTCCGCGTTTAATGGCCGGTAATCGCCGATCATAATTCCAAATTTAATTTCTGTCATTAACATCAATTTAATTCTGGTCATAAAAACTAAATTCAATTCCGATCATTAATATATTATTTGAATTTTGAATTTCAAATAATTATTTATCATATATGCATATAATTATCTGTGACTTACCGGCATTTATATTCCTAACCATACTATCAATAACCACCGTATAACCCACGTGCATTTTAACTCACCGAATAATCGATTTCGAAAATTATGAATTTAATTTAAAATTAAATTTCATCAATTAAATAATTAATCGATTTTCCAACATACATCACTTCCCAATAGTATATATACTAATTCTGAAAATTGACACTATTATATTTTCTTAAAAAATATTACATTATATATATATTTTGTCTTCAAAAATATAATTTTTTTTTTTATTATTGTCAATTTTTTAAAAAATTCTTTAAAACATGTATATAAACGAAGCCTAAATAAATCCCCCAACATGGTCATTAAAGCAAACTCATTTCTAACCACAATGTAGAAAATGCCAGCAAATGATTGAACTCATCAATTGTACCCTTCAAGAACTGTCAAAGTTTTTCTAAGTCGTGTTTGTTCACTTTGTATTTTTAAATAAATATGTTTTTGTTATTAAATATAAAAATTTGTGTCGATAATATAAAAAATATTTTGCATTGAATTATTAACTCTTTGTAAATAGATAATATATTATATATTCTGTTAATATATATATATTATATTTTTAATAATATTTATGGAGAATAGTTCCACCAGCTAAGTGAACAAATCCGCAGTCTCTTTCGCAATTTTTTTTTCTCAATTTTTACTTTTTAAGTTTTGCAAAAGTTGTTTCATTTTTAGTAAAATATTATTTAAGTTTAAAATTTAAATCAATTTTTTTTCAATTCAAGCCCAAAAAAACACTCCTTAATTGATTTCCAATTTCTCAATTAAATTACAATGAATTATATATCACTACAAAAAAATAATATATTTGTAACGGAATTCCGTCCCTAAAGTTCACGCAGCTAACGTAATTTCATTCCTAATTCCGTCTCTAATATCATTAGTAACGGAAAAAGTAGATTTAGAGACACAAATATTTTGTTACAAAAATGAATATTTCTTGTAGTGTATTATAATGTTTTAACATAAATACAACAAAACATTCTAAGTAAAATTTATTATAAGTATAATTCATTTTGTATTAGCAAAAAATATATACAAAAGTCATATTTTATGTACAAATACTGGGATGTTATACACTATTTTAATTCATACAAGTGAATTATATAAATATATACTTGATTCGTCATTCAATTATGAGGTAATAATAAAATTTATATACTATAAAATTTTATTTATCTATGTTAAATATACAAGTGATACAAATACATTTTGGTAACTAAATTATTATTATATTTGTATCATTTATTTAAGTATGTGTAATTTAATGATAATCACAACTTATTATTTTAATTTTTTTTTTTTTATGATATGAGAATTCGTAATCGTTACAAACCACACTAGTTGGGTAAGTCACATTTAGCCGAGAAGACGTCAAAAGATTTTGAACATATAATCTTACGTTCATAAATTTGTTAACCATACCAACTTAGCTACCCTTTATTAAACCGATAGTGACGATATTTTGAGTTTTAGTTAAATTACTATTTTGACGTAATATTTTATTAAAAAAAATATCATACTTCCTTCATTTCAATTCAAAATATTTTTTTTATTATTTTTGTCCGTTCATTCAAAAGTATATCTTTTTTATTTCAGTAAAAGTAATCATATACAAATATCAAAATACCTTTTAACTTTTACTCAATTATAAACACACCATTATGTATACAATTATTTTATATATAAAGTCAAAGGTCAAAAATATCAAAAGCTCTTACACTTTCACTGACCAATAAATTATTATTATTATTATTATTATTATTATTATTATTTAATCAATTAGAAAAATCTCTAAAAAAATACTTTCCAATGGAATGAAAAAAAAAATATTTTATTTGGAAATGGTACAAATTGATATTAATACTAATTTGACAAATAAATTTAAATGAATAAATATCCATAAAGTTGTGTAACGAAAGAGTATTAATTATTTCACTTTCATGCATAAATAAAATATTGAATTATGTGTCCTCTAACAACCATTTTTATGTCCCATGCCCCATTTTGAGCTGGAAAACTTCAATGCATACATGTATAAAAGGGCACAATTCTTGCCACTATTTCACACACAAAAATGAACTTTCAAGAAACTCAATTCTAACCATATTTAATTTAATTTAATTTAATTTGTTTCAATATTTCTTCTTCTTCATTATTCTTCTTCTTCTTCGTTTTTTTTTTATTCATTGGACATTGTGGGTACTTAAGTGTGAAAATGATAAGATTTTGCGCGGCATTTGCAGTCGTTCTAGGGTTTTTAGAGAGCTCTAAAGTTTATGCTAAAACAAATGCATTCTTTGTGTTCGGAGACTCATTGGTCGACAATGGCAACAACAATTACTTGGCGACCACGGCGAGAGCGGATTCTCCGCCCTACGGCATCGACTACCCCTCCCACCGACCCACCGGCCGTTTCTCCAATGGTCTTAATATCCCCGATATCATCAGTAAATTTTTTCTTTCCCCTTTCGAGAATTTCTCGTTAAATTATGGTAATGCCAAGGCAAGATCACAAGTTTTTATTTTTAAGCCGTTACGGTTATGTTTAAAATCAAATACCCGATATATAATTTTATCAGTACCGTATTAACAACAAAATATTTATAACATTGTCTCTTATTGTAGAAATTTTTCGAAAATATATAACTATATTTGTTAGGTGAAGATTTTATTAATTTATGAACGATCGTGTAATTTCTTCGAATAGCATAACTATTTTAGAGTCGAATAACATCAAATAGTAGTCGATCATTTGTAAAAAAAAAAAAATCAATTGGATTTTCCAATGAATTATTGTAGATTTAGAAGAAATTATTAATATTAAAGTTTAATTGTAAATATTTATAGGTGAAAAAATGGGATGGGAGCCCATAATGCCATACTTAAGTCCACAACTAATAGGGCAAAAATTGCTGGTTGGAGCCAACTTTGCTTCTGCCGGAGTCGGAGTCCTTAATGATACTGGAATTCAATTTGTAAGTCGATACAAATTAATAATATTTTTGTCGACTTTTATTGTTATCTGTATATATATTATATATTATATTTTTAATACTATTTTTAGGGAATATTTTTGTCGACTTTTATTGTTATCTGTATATATATTATATATTATATTTTTAATACTATTTTTAGGGAACGTGTAAGTCAAGGGCGGACCGAGGTGGGGGCAAGGGCAGCCCCCCTCCCCACCCCCACACACTACAAAAAATTATCAATTTTGTAACAAGATTTTTTCGTTTCTAAATTTACTTTTTCTGTTACTAATGATATTAGAGATGGAATTACGTTAGCTATGTGAACTTTAGGAACGGAACTCCGTTACAAATATACTATTTTTTTGTTTTAAATATATGTAATATAGAGAAAATAGATAAATAAAAAATATACTAAAAAATTGTATATTTTCTCTGAATAAAAAAGAATAGAAAAAGAAATATTTATAATACAGTGTATAACTATTATTATTGTTGTAGTTCATTATTTGTATTTATTTTCTTCAAGATATAATAATTAGAATGATAATTTTTTCAGATAACAAATAAATATTTATAAGAAAAATATATTATTTTATAAATTTCAAAATTAGTCCCCCTCAAATATAATCCTAGATCCGCCGCTGGTGTAAGTTATAAACACTAAACAAACACATTGTAATATTTCAATTCATTTTATTACATGTGGAAATATAAAGAAAATTATGTATTTCGGTTTGTACATATCATCGGTTATTATTCTTATATTGTATATTCATTAGTTGAATTTTGGTTATTACTCTCTCCGTCTCAATACAATAGTCTTGTTTACTATTTTTTTCCCGTTCTAAAACAATAGTCTTATTTCCATAAATAACCATATCACTGTAAAACTACCCCTACTTTTTTATTTTTATTACACAATTATCACTATTTTTTATACTAATACTCACAAGAGTAAAAAATTCTTTTATCCATACTTTTTACCCGCTATTAATATAATATCAATATTTCTTAAATCTCGTGTCCAACCCAATTAAGATTATATTTATGGGACGAAGGGAGTATTACTTTTTTAGGTCAAATGACAAAAGAAGCAATATTTTTTAAAGTATAAGTTCACTATGATAAATTATTTTTTTTCTATTATCCAATCCAAATGATTCTATGTAAATAATATACGTTATTTTATTTCACATAACATCACATTCAAACCAAAAAAAAAAAAAAAAAAATCAGTCTAAGTTACCTTTTGTTTAAGGGTGTGTAAATTTGAAATTCTTTGTTTTTTTTTTAGAATGAAATTTTTTTTTTTTATTAAAAAATAAATTAAAGGGTGCTATGTTGTTTTAAAAGAGATGATAATTTTATTATATTGTACAGTGCAAAAATAAAAATGAAAGGTTGTAGTTTGAATATTTTTATTTTTATTGTTTTTCAAATGAAATAGCAGTTATATTACTCCCTCCGTCCCATAAGTAAATATCCATTTGTTTTTCACACGTAATTTTAGAAATATTAGTATTATATTAGGATATAATAAGAATAAAGTAAAAATAACTAAAATAACCTTATTAGTATATGTGATATAAAGGTAATGACATTTGTGTAATATATTTTAAGTTATAAAAGTATTTGTAATATTAGGTAGATAGTACAATTACTAAAAAAAAAAAAAGAAAATGAATATTTTATTATGGGACGAACTAAAATGAAAAAATTGATACTTTGTTATGAAACGGATGGAGTATATTAGTGTTTTAATTTGTATAGACAATGTATATATTTCTATTCAAAAGAATAAATTTTATAAATATCAAATTTAAAGATTACATATAGTATTGTAAAAAAATATATACTAATCTTATTCAACAAATAAATAATCAATTAAATCAACCAAAAGCAATACAATGGTCCAAACATCTATTAATAGCCCTAAATAAAAGCAATAAAAATGATGGGGCAAAAAAAATAGGGTTGGGATAAGACAAGCATTCATTCAATGCTATGTCATCTTTGAAAATTCTTTCTCAATTTTCAATTCTTGGTCGTCGAGATTAATTGCGTCGATTAAATATATGAATATATATTGGTTTTATATTATATGTTTTGTTATATATTGAATATTTTGTATTTTTTGGTGATCCTAACCTAAGATAATTAACAATGTCGTTTTTAGGTGAATATTATTAGGATTTTCCAACAACTGGATTTCTTTGAACAGTACAAGCAAAGAGTGAGCGAAGTGGTCGGAGAAAAAGAAGTTGGAAAACTTGTAAATGAATCGTTAGTTCTTATTACATTGGGAGGAAACGACTTTGTCAACAACTATTATTTGATCCCTTATTCCGTGAGGTCGCAACAATATTCCATCCAAGATTATGTGCCGTTTGTCATTTCCGAGTACAAGAAGGTCCTAAAGGTAGTCGACTATCTATCAATTATATCCCAAAAAAACAAAACAAACACACACAAAAGAATTGCGGCCTTTTGATCTTATTGAAGGTTTATTATTTTTGATTTAGTATTTTTAAATCGCTCAGATGAGTCTTTATTTGTTAACAAGAGTCGCATGCTCTGTTTAAACATAGTAATCGAAACTTTTGAAATTTTGAAAATTCTATAAATTAGTAAAAATTAGGTATTTGATGTGACATATTATCTCATTTCCTTATAATAACTTGATAATAGAAAACATCAAATATAAATTATTCCACTGCCTCGATACTTTTGGTGATTGTATTTTCTGTTTGATTGTTTGATTTTTTGGATATATAGTATAACTTTGATAGTTTTTCCACTATCATTATTTTATACTTTAACTATAAAAAAAAGGTAAAAAATTGTATTCTCTTTGTCCAAAATCAAAAAATTTTTGGATTTTGGTAGTAGATTAATAAATAATAATATTTTATTAATTAGTGAAAGAGTTTTTGACATTTTTTTTGTATTTTTTAATTTTAATTTTATGTATAAAATAATTGTATGTGTAATATGTTGGTAAAATGATACTTAGAAGTGGGACAGACGAAAATAATAAAATGATACTTTAAATGGAAAGGAGGGACTAACTAAATAAAAGTTAAAAAAAATGGAAAAAAATCAATTTTAGTCATAATATAATCAAAATTTATCAATTTTTGTCCCAATATAAAAAATTTATCAATTTTTAGTCTCAATATAAACAATTTTCAATCAATTTTGGTCCCATTATAAACAATTTCAATCAATTTTGGTCCCACCGTTAAAAAACTAACTGAAATTACTGACGTGGACATAACGGAGCTAACGTGACAGTTGACCTGGAAAGTACACGGCCATGTACAATTATACATGGCCATGTTGTTACATGGTCATGTTGTTACACGGCCATGTACAATTATACACGGTCATGTTGTTACATGACCATGTATTTTTCAGTGTATAATTATACATGACCATGTTGTTACACGGCCATGCATAATTCTACACGGCCGTGTAAATTTCTGTTTCGGTCTAAAATTTAATTTTTTTGTTATAATTTTTAATTTTTTTTTTTTTTTGAATTTAGAATAGCTTATATAGTTAAAAGGAAAAACAAAAATCAATAATAATCATAATATAATTAAAATGTATCAATTTTAATTCAAGTATAAATATTTATCGAGTATGTTCTTTTAGAAAATTTTGTTTAAAATTTTACTATTCAGCAAAAAAAATTCTTTTACAAACATCCAATTATTGTATTGAAATAATAAATTAATTTTTAATACTACTATAATATACAAAATTTAAAAATAGTTGTGTAATTGGATGTTTGTAAGAGAAATTTTTTTTATGAATAATAACATTTTAAACAAAACCTTTCAAAAAAACATACTTGATAAATATTTATATTTGAACCAAAATTGAAACATTTTAAATATGTTATGATTATTATTGATTTTTTTTATTTTAAATATATCAACTATTCTAAATTAAAATTAAAATAAAAATTTAAAAATATAACAAAAAAATAAAATTTTAGACCGAAACAGAAAGATACACGGCCGTGTAGAATTATACATGGTCGTGTAACAACATGGTCATGTATAATTATACACTGAAATATACATGGTCATGTAACAATATAGCCATGTATAATTGTACATGGCCGTGTAACAACATGGTCATTTATAATTATACACTGAAATATACATGGTCATGTAACAATATGACCGTGTATAATTGTACATGGCCGTGTACTTTCCAGGTCAACTGCCATGTCAGTTCCGTTTGTCCACGTCAGCAATTTTTGTTAGTTTTTTAACAGTGGGATCAAAATTTATTGAACTCGTTTATAATTTGACCAAAATTGATTGAAATTGATTATATTGAGACTAAAATTGATGAGTTTTTTATATTTTGTCCAAAATTGATAAATTTTGGTTATATTGGGATTAAAATTGATTTTTTCCCAAAAAAAAATTGTGAAGTCTTAAATTAAATCATAAATAATACTCCTTCCATCCTTTATTTATCTATATGTTTGTTTTTTGCACAGAATTTTAAAAATATTAGTATTATATTAGGAGTTGGTATGAATAAAGTAGAAAAGACTAATATAATCTTATTAGTATTACGGGATATAAATGTAATGACATTTGTGTAATATATTGTAAGTTGTAAATGTATTTTTAATGTTAGTTAAAAGTACAATTATTAAAAAAATAGATACTTTGTTACAGGACGAACCAAAATAAAAAAATGAATAGATTGTTAAGGGACGGAGGGAGTAACAGACAACCCATCATACTAACTTTTCTATAGTATAAATTATAAACCTTTGATTTGAAAAAATAATCGATATTTGATTCTTTCTCGTATCATTTTTTTTCTTTGCAATATTTTTTTTATCGACGTTTTGAATATAATACACACAAACAAGTACGGAATTTCACGTACATTTTAAAATAATGTAGAGACTATATGATTTGGGGCCTCGGCGAATTTTGGTGACGGGGACGGGGCCATTAGGGTGTGTGCCGGCAGAATTGGCGCAGCGCAGCCGGAACGGGGAATGCGACGGGGAATTGCAGAAAGCCGCATCTTTGTTCAACCCACAACTTGTGAGAATGTTGGATGAACTCAACAAAGAAGTTGGTTCTAATGTGTTCATTGCAGCCAACACCCACCAAATGCACTTGGACTTCATCTCACAACCTCAAGTATACGGTACGTCCGTGTACGATTAATCCGTGAAAATTTAGAATTCTTATTTTTTTTAAATAAATGATACTCGCGCATACAATTAATCCGTGAAAATTTAGAATTCTTATTTTTTTCAATATAAATGATACTCTCTCTATATTTCAATCTATGGTTACTTCTTTCACTACAAAAAAATAATATATTTGTAACGGAATTTTGTCCCTAAAGTTCACATAGCTAACGTAATTTCATTCCTAATTCTGTCTCTAATGTCATTAGTAACGGAAAAAGTAGATTTAGAGATACAAATATTTTGTTACAAAAATAATTTTTTCTTGTAGTGTTTCTTCCTTTTTTTTTTTTGGATTATCATAAAAATATATTCTCAATTTTTTTAGCAAAATAAATAAATATATATATACTCCCTCCATCTTTAAGTAAACTTCTATTTTATAATAAAGTAGTGTAATGTCTATTTTGCCTTTAACATTAAAGTAAAAGTATTGTAAAAAGTAAAAAGTAAAAATATTTTTATATATTTTGTTGATAGTTACTTTTACATAAAAAAAACAATCAAATAAGAAACTTTGACTTGGATATAGCAAAATGAAAGGTTTTTTTTTTTCTTTATTTTTTACTATAAAAGACAAAATATAACAATTATTATATACTTTTATTAAAGTCGTGCCCAAATATTTAATGATACAATTAGATGACGGAGAGAGTATAAGTAAGGAAAATTATATCTTTAGTCTGTACATGTAAGGATGGATCGGTACGGGATTTCGAAAATCATGCCACATACCGTATATCGTATCGAAATTTTTGGTATGATTTTTTTCGATATCGATATCATACCAAATTTGGTATGATAGATAATTCGGTATACCAAAAGTTTTGATATATACCGACATACCGAATATTAAAATATCAAATTAATTTATGATATTTTTGGTATATATTGAAATACGGAAATTCTGCCAAAATCTTTTAATCAAATTTGAATAGTATTTTGACTAATAGTTAATAAGATTAAGAATGTATATTTACAGTGAATCGTGAGAATTCTATAGTAAATAATTTTAAAATATATATATATATAAACAGAACATTATTAAAAAAAAAATTAAAATATCACATCAAACAAGTGTTTTATTTTAAAATTTTTACTATTCGGGACTCTCGTTTACGGATAAATGATTAATGACTGTGTTTCCCTAGTAGTTCGAGCTTTTAGGTGAGACGGTCATTCTGCATCCGACATTTACTATTCTAAAAATTCGAAACACAATCAAACAATTAAATTAGCTCGCTTGGACTTGTAATAACGTTATATTTGCATTCTTACAGGGTTTATAACCTCAAAAATAGCGTGTTGCGGGCAAGGGCCGTACAACGGATTGGGGCTATGCACGCCATTGTCGAATTTATGTTCAAATCGAGACGAGTATGTGTTTTGGGATCCTTTCCATCCCTCGGAAAGGGCCAATAGAATCATTGTCGATCAAATCCTAAGGGGTTCCGCGACTTACATGCACCCTCTAAACTTAAGCACCATCATGGCCTCGAATCCTTCGACCCTTTGAATTGTCTCGTCTACACTTCTATTTGTTTGGATATGTCGAACTTATTTGGAAAAAGAAAGAAAAATATAATTCTTCGGGCATCTAAAGTTAAAGATTATATACTAAGTCCATATTGGTTCTTGATCTTTGTAAATCGCAAGTGTTTATGTGTTCATTGTGTCCGCCTCTAATTGTACTTGATTATCGATTCTTGACTTGAAATGAGGTATCGATAGTAATTCTCTAGTGTAACAAAACAAAGTATTTTTTAACCAAAATCTTTTTGGTTAAAAGATTTTTCTAGGTTAACCAAAGATTTTGCCAATCAAGTCGAATAGTACTAAGAAAAAAAAAAAAACATATACCTTTGTTTAGAAGATTTTATTAGATTTTTATTATTTACAATTTTTTTTCTTGAAAAAAATAAATTAAATATTTATTTTTTATTTTAATGTTATATATTTTATAATTTAATCTTTTTACTTTGAATGTGTTTTGTTGTGAAATTTTGATACTAGTTTTTGTTGTTACTTAAGTCAGGATCCAAATATGATATTTAAAATATAATCGAACAAAGTACTGCAAAAACTAAAAAAAAAAATCATATTTACAAAAGCAAAGAGTTCGGACTCAGTTTACCCAAGTATAACAAACGAAATCAACTATCGCACACAACCGAACCCTAACCACAGTAGCCAAGCCAAGGAAACACAACCAACACACAAAATCGACCTCGAATCTATGGAAACATTGACGATTTATGTCTAACTTAACAGCGAACAGAGAAATACATTGCACAATCAAAGTAAGCAGAGAATTGAGAAATCAAACTGATGAACAGCTTCAGAACAAGTCGAACATCAAAGGCAACAATCGATTCCACAGCTTTGCCGGACAATATCACTGGAAAACTCAAGAGAAGATCGATCGAACTCCGCGTAGGACTTTTTAGAGAGAAGTATCGCGATGAATGAGACTGACTCCCTCAGAGATACACAGAACTGTGGATTAAGAGATACATCAGCGACTCATCCAAACATTGAGAAACAAACCCTCAATCCAACGGCTGAGCTTACGCCTTGCAGTAGACCGGGTTCCACCCGCGGGTTGCACATCCGGCTGCATAATGGGCGGGTTCGGATTGTGAACTACTGGACCTCTAACTTATTGACCCAAAAATCCATCACAGTTTTACAATTTCAAAAAAAAAAAAAAAAAACTTCAAAAATCGAATAGCTTTTTGTTTATAATTTGCAGTGTACTTTTAAATTTTTTATCATATATTTTTAAAAATAAAATTCACATATAAATCAATTTTGATTCATGATTTCAAGAGTTTAGCCCACACTTCTTTATGGGACAATACAACTAGGTACTTTATTTTTCAAATATGTTGTTTTTTTATAATGTATTTAAGAAGGGTAATTTGATGAATTATATCAATAGTTGGATTTTTCAATCACCACCATAACGGCCAATATTTAAGTATATAAAAAAACTTTGATTTTTTTATAAAATTAATTTATACTTCATCTGCCATATACTGTGCAATATTTGATTTTCTAAACCAGAATTTAGATAGGTATAACTAAGTTATTGTAGTCACAATAATATAAAAGAAATATAATTAATTACTAATTAAAAAATGAATTACTAAAAATAATTATTGTATAATATTCCTTCTGTCCCGGTCAAGATGACCCATTTGCTTAAGCACACGGTATCTTAAGTAACGTAGATTAGTAAATTATTAATAATAAATTATGATATTATTTTATTATTTTTATATGAGTAGTATTCTTGGGATTTTAAATATTTTTAGCATTATATATCAATAAAATATATACAATATGAATATCATTTTGTAGGGAATAAAATTTTATATAATACAAATAAATAAAAATAATAATTTATTTATTTATAATTAATTTAAAACTAATTTTATTAAAAATAAGAAGTTTTAAATATAAATAAAAATATTTATTTATTGAGGAGAGAGATAGAAATAAAAGGATTTTAAGCGAGTCCTATGCATAAGAGGTTAGAAATTTAATTATATTTATTAAATATGTCTAAGATGAATAAATTTACTAAAAATAGAAATAGATCATCTTTAATATGACAGACAAAAAAAAATAATTATCTGTCGCGGGACGAAGGGAGTATAAATTAATATTAAAATAATTAAATAATTTAGTTAATATTAAAAAATAATAAATTATAAATTTTAAAAAGTAATTAAAATTAATAATCATTTTTAAAAAAGAAAATAGATATGTTATTTGAGACGGATAAAAAAAATAGTAAATACACGGACCAGGAGAATATAATTTGAAAATAAAATAATTTAATAAGAGAGATATATATATATATTATGGGTGATACGATAAAATAAAGTATAATTAATTATTTAAAAAAAATAATAAATTCCAAAAAGTATTAGTGTCGGACATAGTATTATTTATATATTTATATTATATAAAATTTTCTTTTATTCTTTCATATTAATACTCTCTGTCCTATTTTGATATTTTTATAAATTAATTTAATTAATTTCATCGACATAACATCGTACATATTTTATTTATTTATATTATGGAATTTTATTCTCTATAATAATCATATTGCATATATTTTTTATTATAATATAAAATTTAAAATATTTAAATATGTATTTTAATTTTATAATTATATGTTCTTTACTTAACGTTAAAAGTATTTTTATATTTATATAATTTTTTATACAAATGTATTATATTAGTATTACATGACACTAATAGAAATATTTTTGCAATTTTTCTTTGATTTGTAATACGTTTTGATATAATAATTAATATCCAAAAATCAACATACAAAAAAATAAATAAATACTTAATTATGAGACGGAGGAAGTATATTAAATTTATCTTGAAGCTATTAATATTATTAATTATATAAAAATTAATGAAATATACTCCCTTTGTTTTACTTTAATTTGTCCAAGCTTATGTAGAGAGTTTGAAATATTCTGTAATTAATAAATATATTAATAAAATTAAATGTGATTTAATAGAGATAATTATATATTAAAATTAAGATTATTAAATAATTTAGTTAAGATTAAAAAATTTTAAATTTTAAAATTTAAAATATAATTAAAGTGTATAATTATATTTACAATGAAAAAAAAAAAAAGATAAATTATGTATAACAAACCTAAGTAGAAAGAATTAAGAAATTAAGTGGAAGGGAGTATATTTTTATATTATGGTGTGTTTGTTTGGGGGTTTGGATTTTGGACTGTGATTTCAATTGTAAAAATTTTGAATGTTGATAGTTGTATAATGTGATATAAATTAATTTTAATATAATATAAAAAAATAAAAAATAGATGTTTGATCTGATATTTTTGAGAAAAAATTAAATGAGTAGTAAAGTTTGGGGAAAATCTCCCAAACAAAGTGTTTGTTCGAAGGATTTAGCTAGATTTTCACTATTCATTAAATATTTTTCCTTCAAAAATGAAAAACACCGTATCAATTCTTATTTATATCACATTTTATAATTATTCAAATTCAAATTTTTTACTATTCAAATTCTTAATACCACACTTGTAACGGGTCGGATGATTGAAAATTCGCTAGTACAGCCTCGCACACGACGCTAAAGTAAAAATGGACTAGGCCTAATATGGATCAAAGCAAATCCACACTCGGATATGCTATATCTCAATACAAAATCCAAAACTCCAAACACACCCATGGACTATTTTTTAGAACTAATTTAACCATGGCAAGTGAATTTGAAGTCCATTTTGTAAAACCCCAACTCTACAGTTAAGACCACTCTCACATTCTCTTATCCATTCTCCCTTCTCCGCCAACAATGGCCTCCTTCCTTCTTCCGCCCTACTCTCCCTTCTCTCTCTCTCTCCCCTCCACCTCCATCTCTCGGAACTCCGTCGCGTCGGCGGCGTCGCCGTCGGCTTCAATCTCCAGTTCCCAAAGAAAATCGCGGCGGAAGAAGCAGCAGCAGAACGACCTCAAGTCTGCAGACGACAATGGATACACGGGAGGTGCAGCTGGAAACTTCGCGCCTTCCAGCGCCGAGAAGCTACTGAGGCTTGTTTTCATGGAGGAGTTGATGGTGCGCGCCAGAGAGGGCAATGTCGCTGGAGTTTCCGAGGTCATTTACGACATGATTGCCGCGGGGCTGACGCCTGGACCCCGTTCGTTTCACGGCATGGTTGTCTCGCATGTCCTCAATCGCGATGAGGAAGGCGCTGTAAGTTTGGGGGAGTTTTGTTCAAGGATTTTGAATTGCATTTTGATATTTTAGGAATTAGGTGAATGCAACCAATTCTGTTTTCCTTGATGTGTCGCTCGAACTTGCTTGGATATGGCGAATGTATTTCAGTTTATTTTGCTTTTACTTACATGTTGTGGAATTATAGGTTATTTGTGTTTCCAAATTTTGAAACCGAAAGTGTAATTGAGCATAAAGCTATAGAAATTTCACGCAGAGCTTGAACATTGTCATTTTTGGGCACGAGGTATGTAATTATGTTAAAACCAATGTGTGAACAGATGCACGCACTTAGGAGGGAGCTGAGTGAGGGTATTCGGCCTCTTCACGAAACATTTATAGCATTGATTCGGTTGTTTGGCTCGAAAGGTCATTCTACAAGAGGATTGGAAATCCTTGCAGCAATGGAGAAACTCCGTTATAATATTCGTCAGGCATGGATACTTCTTGTTGGTACGGTTTCTTTGGAAAGTTTCATGGGTTTTGATTTCAATCTTATCTGATGTAGTATTTAGTTCATCCATTATTTATTTTTATTTTTTTGTCAGAGGAGCTTCTGAAAAACAGATTTTTGGAGGATGCCAACAAGGTTTTCTTGAAGGGTGCTGAAGGTGGCCTTAGAGCAACGGATGAGCTTTATGATCTTATAATTGAGGAAGATTGTAAAGCAGGAGATCATTCAAATGCATTGACCATCGCCTACGAAATGGAGGCAGCTGGTAGATCAGCAACAACATTTCACTTCAACTGCCTCTTGAGCGTGCAGGTACCAGTATATTCGTGGCTATTCATTTGATTGTCCTTTCACTAGTAATGGATATGGCATTTTTGATAGGTTGAAGATGTATTGACAAATTATTAGGAATGTTGTTTGAGCAATCAGATATGAAATCTAGTAAAGTGTTCTTTTACTTATATATGCTTCTGGACAAACTGTTATTTCTTAAGATGACATTAAGGATTCTGGTACTCGTATATGGTCCTTCTTGAATAATATTACCCCTTGATGTATTTTCCTGCAGTTCCAGTGAGAGTAGAAATTAACAATATATTATAATGCCTAGTTAAGAAATAATTGAGTCTATGAAATGTAAGACACCCTGTGTTTTATTAGTAATATGGAATATTAAGAAACATATTTTACAATGTAGCCAGGCTACGTGTGGAATTCCTGAAGTTGCTTTTGCGACCTTTGAAAACATGGAATATGGAGAAGGTATGTGCTTAAAATCCTTTCTTTAATCAAATTATCACTTTTCACTTGGTGATAGTTGTATGCATATGATACACTTACTGCTTACACCTGGTACTGCCAAATCTTCATTATAAATCACTATTTTTCAATGCATACAAGCTGTAAAAGGGATTATAAAGACAATATTAACTGAATAATACGATAATATATTAAAATTCTAAACAATACTTTTGGTGGTTAGGGCCTATATGGAGTTTTTCTTACCATGGGTTTATGATATCCTTAAGCCTTTTTTAACAAAATTCGGGCTCTTATCCTGGTTGCGTAAGTGATAAAAACTCATTTTGTACAATTTTCTTCATGCTTTTAGGAATAGTTACTCATTAACTTCTTACTCTCTTGCTTTCTTCTACTAATTCAATCTTGATAACTGCCTTCTTAGTTGATTTTGTTGTGTATTGATTCAAAGGCTGCTTGATCACTACACAATTCTCTTTCTTTTTTCTTTTTTTATGCGAAACATAGAAAAACAATCAATCCTCATTTATGATTATGTTTATTAGCAATGTTTTCATACAACTGCTATTGGTTATTACAGCTTATATGAAGCCTGATGCGGAGACATATAATTGGGTGATTCAAGCATATACAAGAGCTGAGTCATATGACAGGTATCTTGTATGTATGCTTACAATTTTGATTCCCAATTGTCTTTTAGTACATTTTGGATATTATAATGATTTATGACATGATTCTACTTATGATAATGTGAAAGGTCCTTATACAATTTATTCATTATACTGATTAACTTATCTGGATGGACTATCTCCATGATGCTTCTTGGCTCTTGCTCAAGTGCAATTGATGAAATTGCCCACTCTTCTCTTTTTCCATTGAGAGAAGTAGACTAACCTGGAATTTGATTTGTGAGTAAATGTGAGACATGGTGGTGGTTTGATTTGATGTCCTTAAATGAGGAGGTGCTAAAGGCTTTATATTCAGTTTATGTTTAGTGTTTAAGTATTTATTGATTACACTGATTCATTTGATAACCTTGCGGCGTTCTTATGGATAATTTTGTTAATGAGTAGCACTTTTAATGTTCGTAAATTTCCAATGTTCAACAGTATCAATCACTGCTATTGATCTGTTATTGTTGGTGCAAACCCAAAGACAGGTTCAGCTGTGACGAAACAAAAAAAATTAATGGTTTGTAGTTTTGTTAGTGTGAATAGAAAGAATGTTAAATGGATTGTTTCTCTTTGAAGTGGCCCCTCCCTACTTAAGGTTGCTTTCATCTCATTTTGCTCTTCTCAAGTTCGATGATTTCAACTTTGTGAAAGTCGTGGTCTGCATCTTTCTTTTTAGTTACTATATATCATGCACATGTAACTGTCCAAAAAAAGATTGCATGTATGAGGTGACCAAAAAGGCAACCCTGTTGGACTTTACTTCTGAATTCAATGACGCGAATAAGAGAGGGATGCATATGTACCGCTGCTTGTCTCTATATAAGTTTGTTATATTTGGAAGGAAAGACCATCTGTAATACAGTTAATAATGTATGAATTATTGTAACATTTTATTTTATGCATTAATATAATGTTTTTTTATTTTTCTTCCAATACAATATATGATGTGCAATCTTAATATAATAATCTAGGGTTCAAGATGTTGCTGAGTTACTTGGAATGATGGTTGAAGACTACAAGCGGATACAACCAAATGTGAGAACCTACGCGTAAGAAAATTTCTTCTTTAGGCTTCATTATAGAAATGTCTGTTTCTTGAACGAGTGGTGTACTAGCCATTGCTTGTTTGGTGTTGATTTTTAGATGTTGGTATTCTTGACTAACAGTTGTTAGTAGTTATTTACTGAGGAGACTAATGAAGAGCTCTTTAGAGATTCTTTTCTAGTAGCATTGTTTAGCTGCCCTTATCTTTAGTTCTGCCCTTTAACCTTGTTAACATTGCTGGAATCCTTCAGTTGTGAATTCACCTCAAATAAATTATGTTGCCCCATGTCTTTTAGTATCATAAGTAAGCTCGAAGAAATTCTATGTCACATTTGGACACTTATAACTATTATATGCTGATAGCCTGATATTGTAAATACAACAAAGGAAAGCACTATGTTAATTGATTTTCAAGATGCAGGAGAGAAGCAAGTTTCACCTAATGATTATCTCCATCATAGAGAGATCAATTTGCAGCCTCTGGATAGTGGATAATCTATTCACAGTCTTGTTGATTTAGGCTATTGGTGGAGTGTTTTACAAAGTATTGTGTCACAAGGGAAGCCATTCGACACTTTCGTGCACTTAAAAACAATGAAGGTGGAACAAGAATTTTGCATAATGAGGGACAATATGGAGATCCGCTCTCTTTATATCTTCGTGCATTATGTAGAGAAGGTTTGCACTTTCTTTCCCAACATTCTAATATGTTCTTATACAAGCTCTTCTATTGATTTGAAAGTTGAAACCCAGAACAGGCAGATATCTAATGCTTATTAGTCGTAGCATCGAATGTTTTGCTTGGGATCTTGTGATCAGATCACTTATTCCCTAAGAAAGGGAGAGGGAATAAAATAAAATTAAAAAAAAAAGAACTAGTCAAATTCAGGTCATTTCCAGATAATTGGATCATAATGCATCAACTCAGTCCTTAATAACTGATCCAAAAATGTGGCTTACATAGTTTTCATCCTAACTGCAAATCTTATCTTGAGATGCAATTTACTAACTGTCTTTTACTGGTTATAACATTGAAATCAGGAAGGATTGTTGAGTTAATAGAGGCCCTTGAAGCTATGGCAAAGGATAATCAACAAATTCCTCCTAGAGCCATGATCTTGAGCAGGAAATATCGATCACTTGTTAGCTCATGGATTGAACCACTGCAAGAGGAAGCTGAAGTTGGGCATGAAGTTGATTACATCGCCAGGTTTAATTCCTTTTCTTATTGGTGGGAGAATCATAAGATATCTTTCTCACAATATTCAATGTTTTGAGGCATGTTTATAAATGAAGAATGAGAACTGAATTTTTTTCTCTATTTCTCTTGGTGCTTAATTTTGTTTTCTTTCTTAAGTGCATGTTGAGTGGCAAATATATAAGAGGTGTTTCTTAAATAGCTCCAGCTTCCAGAGACATGGATTGTAGATGGATCCCTTTTAGTTTACCTGGAGTTTTATGAATAGCAGTTCGTTTTTCTACTATCAATTACACAACAGGTTTCTAAGGAAACCCCAACCTCTTAGCTTATCTTATTTGAATATCTCTCTGTGAAAGAGTTATCATTTGCTGCAGTTTATAATTTGCCTCACAAAATGTATGATACTACTTTGCCAATTTGAGAATTTTGTAAGCTTGTGATACCCTTAACTTGATGACATATCTTTGCCCTCTTCCCAATCCCTTACACTATATACACTTGTTTTGAAGTAATGAATTTCTGGATCTAGGCTTGTTATTTATTTTCTTGTGATTCATTTCACTTGGCGGCAAAGTTGGAAAGATCATGCCTCATCTTTATTTGTCTCATCACTCAATGCAGAAATGCGAGTGGTAGATTTCTTTGTGAAGCCTAGTGCTGTTAAGGCATGTCAGTCTCTCAGTTTAGTTGCGATCTGTTATGACTAAGCCCCTTGGAATTTCCCTTAGTTTGGTTTTTTCTATTCACTCCATATCTTCATATAAATAAAGTCTCTTTTTCTCGGGGGAAAAGCAAAACTGTGATTAATTTAGCTGGGATACAGGTACATTGCAGAAGGTGGGCTTACAGGTGAACGCAAGCGATGGGTTCCACGTAGAGGGAAAACTCCATTGGATCCTGATGCTGAAGGCTTTATTTATTCCAATCCTATGGAAACTTCTTTCAAACAAAGATGTCTTGAAGAATGGAAAATCCATCATAGGAAACTTCTGAAAACCTTACAGAATGAAGGTCCTGCAATTCTAGGCAATGTTACTGAATCTGACTATTTTAGAGTTGTGGAGAGATTAAAGAAAATCATTAAAGGTCCAGAACAAAATCCTTTGAAACCAAAAGCTGCAAGTAAAATGATAGTGTCGGAACTGAAGGAAGAACTGGAAGCTCAAGGTTTGCCAACTGATGGCACTAGAAATGTTCTGTACCAACGTGTACAGAAAGCAAGGAGAATAAATCGTTCCAGAGGCCGGCCACTTTGGGTCCCTCCTGTGGAAGAGGAGGAAGAAGAGGTATTGTATTTGACGTTATTTAACTCTTACGTGCATCTTATGTCTAATCTTATCGCCAGTGCCACAAAACTATGTAGCTAAATGAGGGGAAAAAATTCTCGTAGATTGATGAAGAGTTGGATGAGTTAATTTCAAGGATTAAGCTGCAAGAAGGCAACACAGAGTTCTGGAAACAACGTTTTCTTGGAGAGGGCCTGAATGAAAATCACAGCAAGCAATTGGAAGTTGAAGCCCATGATGTTCCTGATGTCTCAGATGATGCTGATGTCGATATTGAGGATGATGTGAAAGAGACCGAAGATGAGGAGGTTGATGAGGAAGAAGAGGAAGTGGAGCAAACTGAAAGCCAAGTAGATGACAGGGTTAAAGATAAGGAAGTCGTGGCCGCAAAGCCTCCCCAGATGATTGGAGTCCAGTTACTGAAAGACTCTGATCAGATAACTAGCTCATCGAAAAAATCCAGGAGAAGATCTGCTCGGGCATCGATGGAGGTTAAAATGGCTAATATCTTTTTCATCAATATATATTAACTTGGTCAAAGACTTGATAACTTGAAGTTGAGTTTATTTGCAATTTGCTTAACCAACTGCAGGATGACGCCGATGATGATTGGTTTCCCGAGGATCTTCATGAGGCGTTCAAGGAAATGAGGAAGAGGAAAGTGTTCGATGTATCTGACATGTACACGATAGCTGATGCTTGGGGTTGGACATGGGAGAAGGACTTCAAAAACAAAGCACCGAGAAGATGGTCACAGGAATGGGAAGTTGAATTGGCAATTCAACTAATGACAAAGGTAATATCATCGCTTTCCGTACACTAAATATATTGTCATAATGCCTCTCTCGTGTTTCCTCAGTTACTTTTTCACAATTTTGATCCATTATTCGTCAAATCCATGTTTTCTGTTTATTTCAGCAATTGTTTTTCTCGTTTTATTTCCTTCTTTTGCATGCAATAATTGGTTTCCAAAATGGACGAGCTTTTCATCAGGAACAACTTTAAACTAATTTAATTAACTATGAATTCTTTTATGTCTGGTCCAAATGTCTTATCCTTTATTTAAGCATTTTATCAAATTTGGCGAAACACCACTGGAGATATGCTCAATTATGTTCCCTGAATCTAAATGGTCAATTATACTTATATCTGATTTTCTCAACTCACATGACTGATATTCATTTCGGGTTCTCGATTTCGAACTTCGCATAGAGTTTTCCCGCCCCTTCATAATATACAATAGATGAATAGTCATTCGGTCTGCACTTTATTTTTATGCGAATATGGTATTTCCCATCAGTCTGAACATAGTAATTTACTAAAAGCAAGTGTGGAGAAAAGGATTCTCTTTTGTTTTTGTTTTGTGGGAATTCGAAGGTAAGATTCCACTATAATTCTATTTATAAATAAGATGGGATTCCTTTCATTTGAAAGAGTTGCTAAATATTCATTAGCCGACCATAGGGTATGTTTGGTTTGTGTTTTGTATGTTTTGGTTTTTTTGTTGTTTCTTTAGATGAAATAGTAGCTGGATATGTGTTTTGTACGTGAAGCATGTGTTTTTATTAGAATTGGCAAAAAGAAAAAGAAAAACATAGCTAACTGCAAACAGTTTTTCTAGAAATGGTCTAGAAAGCTAAAGAAATGCAAAAGGTGTCACGTGTTTGTTTGTTGGTTTTGGAGTTGAGTTTGAAAGTTTTAATACTCCTTCTGTCCGTTCCACGTAATTTTACCTTTTCTTTTTTAGAAATCTGATTATACACTTTATTTGTATTTTAAATTTCTTTCATTTATATTTTTATTAATATATTTTTAATTACTTACTACTAATCATACTTTACTTAATTAAATTCTCGTCTCGTATCTACAATAACGGAGACAAAATATACAGGGGAGAGTAATAAATTTTTAAATTTGAATAGTTGTTTGATGTAATATAAATAAGTATCGTATCCTATGCGCAAACAATTTCTAGAAGTGGCCTAGAGATGAGCTTAGAGTTCGATTTTTCAGGTGATAGAATTGGGCGGGACGCCAACCATTGGCGACTGCGCCATGGTACTCCGGGCTGCTATACGAGCTCCTGTGCCGTCAGCCTTCTTACAGATCCTGCAGACAACACACAGCCTGGGATATGTACTCGGCAGGCAAGTGTAACGACATGTTTTTTTTCTTTTTTCTTACCAAGTATATGTGTTTCCTTAACAACAGCCGATTCTTTCGACGACTGCAGCCCGTTGTATGAAGAAGTCATAAGCCTGTGTCTGGATCTTGGGGAGCTCGATGCCTCGATCGCCATTGTAGCTGATTTGGAGACGAGCGGGATCAAAGTGGACGACGAAACTCTCGACAGAGTCATCTCTGCAAGACAGGCACAGATGAATGATAGCCCCGCCGATGGCGACACAACACAATAGGTAGGTAGGTAGGTAGGTAAGGTAAGGTAAGCATTCTTGGAGAAATTTTACTACTAGATGAACAATTTTTGTGAAAATTTATTTTTTCAGAGTTATTGGGTTTGATCATTTTCTATTTTTGGGATATATATATATATAATTTTTCCTTTCCAATTCAATGTATTTTTTTATTATTTTAGTCTATTTCACTAAAAAAATCTTTATTTTTGTAAAAATAATCATATATTAAAAAAAAAACAAAAATGTCAAAATTATTTTATACATTTTTACGTACCATTAAAATATAGTAGTGCTATTTATTAATTTATTACAAAAAATCCAAAGGGCCATTTTGAATTGGGGAGTATTTAGTTTATGAGTTGTGGTGGTGGCGGCTACTTTAAAATTCAGCACTATATAAATATCATGTAATAACAAAAAAAATACAATGTAATGCGAACACATCTTTTATATTAATATAATACATAAACTAATAGGATACCATATAATAACAAATAACATATTGTATTACTTCTTTCATCATATTTCTTATATTAATATATTACAAATACAACATATAAATTGACAATACATGTTATAGTTACATACAGTACAAACAACCGATGATTTTAGCACATGAACTCTAATACAACACATAACTTTGAATAAATAACACATAACTTTGAATAAATTACACATAGTATGTAATAAGAATATGTGATATTTGTATATATTATTGTGTTGATTTAAATCATCGACATAGTCATTCTCAGTTAACAATTTAATATAAAATATTATTTTATATTTTTAGTACAAATATTTGTACTTAATATAATAATATGTTTATTCAAAAATACTAACTCATTGGTTTGAGAAAGTCGAAAATGGAATTAAATGAGAGTATGTCAAATGCATGGATATGGATGTGTGTGGTAATTTTAAATTTGTGATTTAATAATAATAATAATAATAATAATATCTTTTTGATGTAATAGTTGAATATAGATGATAGAATTTAAAAGAATAAAGTAGCCTATTTATGTTTACAATATATTCATTTTTTTTTTCAAAATTATTCATATAGCACCTATCAAAATGCAGATAGCACAACACATACATTTTGTCATACTACCTAGTATACATGACATAGTAATATTAATTAATAAAGTATCCGTGTAAACAAAAACATATACTATATTAAAATTAAAATTAAAAAACAAAATACAAAATTTAACATAGAAGGAATAAATTCCATAAGACTTAGATCTTATGCAGAATTTATGTGACAACCTTGCAAATGAGCTCACAGGTCAATACGAGTCATTGCAGCGCATTTTTGTCCTCAATCACGTAAATTTTGAAGGACTTTCCAACTAACTTTAGAGTTATTTCAGTATGAGTCCCGAAAAGAAATGTATACATTGTTGATATGAGTTGTCATACTCAATCAATTTAATTACTATTCAATATTGGATGGTTTGGCACCGGCTCATCCACGGGAGTTGGTCTAGCACATGTCCAACTTTGGGGTATTACATCCTCCACACTTAAGAATACAACTTCCCGATGTACCATAAGGATGTCTTAACTGCTAGGCCCGTCAATAGTTTGGTCAACGACTACAGGCTGTCACAGATCGGCTCTTGTGACAATCCGGCCCGCAAGCCACATAAGCCGAGCATATCGGGATCGTAGACTACCCACAGGTCAACACAAGTCATTTCGGCGCTTCTGTCCTTACTCACGCATAGGGCTCATGAAAAGAAATGTGCACATTGTTGATATGAGTAGTCTATTCAATGTCTTATATTCAAATTTGGATGGCTTAACACGGGTTCATCCATACACGGGAGTTGGTCTAGCACCGGCCTAACACTAAAGTATTACATTCTCCCCCACTTTAGAATGCAACGTCTACGTTGCATCCGAAGGATATATCAACTAGTAGGGCCCCCTCAACAGTCAGATCAACGACTGTGGGTTGTCACACCTCGACCTACAAGCCACGCTAACCAGGTGTGTCAAGATCACAGACTGGCCCTACAGGTCGTTACAAGTCATTGCAGCGCACTTCTGTCTTCAATCACGCTCACTTAGGAGATTTGCTATGAGGTCACCACCATCAAATTACTTTAGGGCAATCACGTTTAATTTTTGAGTTATTTCAGCGAGAGTCCTGAAAAAGAATGTACACATTGTTAACATTAGTAATCTATTCAATCAATTTAATTACTATTCAATCTTGAATATTCTGACACCGGTTCATCTATGAAAGTTGGCCTAGCACCAGCGGGTATTACAATTTGTCTAAGTAAAGCTCAAGTAATAGTACTATACACCATTATCCCGTAAGAGATGGGCTGGTGATGTGCATATATGTGTTCTTTCATAAAATCAATTGACACATTCTTTATTAGTATCATAATATGTACATACATTGACATAAAAATATATATTATATAAAGTGTGTTTATTTTGTGAGAATGTTAAAAACAACATTTTTTAAGTAAAATATAAGAAATTGTGTAGAAAATACAAAAATATTGAAAATATTTTTGGAAGAACTTAGAAGAAAAATAGGGTGGAAGAACAAAGCAATAATTTATTCGAAAAAATTAATAATTTGACATAAAATATTACTTTTTATATAATCACCATATTTTTTATATTTAATATTTAATTTAAAGTATTTTTTAGATTAAAATTACAAAATAAATACACCCTCGTTTGTTTATAGCAGATTGTAGGAAGTGTTTGTTTTTTAATTTTAAATAAAAAATTACTATAATTTTCAATAAAAATATATTATATGTTAAATTAATATTTTGAATGTAAATTTAACTTGTAATATAATTAAAAAATATATATTACATTGTTGGGAAAATTTTCTAAATAATAATAAGACTTTTGTTCACATTATTTGCAGGTGCCACAAATTTTTATAAATATTATTTAAATTATATAATAAATACACATTAACACAATATATATATATCGCTATACACTATTTCTTCACAAAAGTCAAATTTTCAATACGACCTAACTTGTGTTTGTCCATGGATTTTGATTTTGGATTTATATATTTTAATACTAAAAATTTGAATTTGATAAATATTTAATATGATATAAATAGTTGCCTATGTGATATTTTTTAATGTAAAATTAGTTTTTAAAATAATATAAAAATAAAAAATAATTACTCCCTCCGTCCCAGATAATATGTCAATGTTATTGTAGATATGAAAATTTAGGTAAAGTATACTTGGTAAGTAATTAAAAAATGTATTAGTAAAAATAATTATTGTGTAATAAAAATAATTATAAATTAAGATTAAGATAAAAGACTAAAAAAAATTATAAATTATGAAATTTTAAATGTGATTAAAATATATAATTATATTTTAAAAAAATGACAAATTATATTGGACGAACGTAAATGAAATATATGAATATTTTATGTAGAATAAAGGGAGTATTCAATTTGATATACTTAAAAAATAAATAAATAAAGTAGTTAAAAGTTTATGAGAAATTGATAAGAAAACACAACCTTCATTCCTTTTATGTAGTAAAAACTCGGGGTCGTTATTTGTCGACTATGCTCTGGATAAATTCCGACCAAAACTAATAGTATATAAACTAAATTTGACAAGATAAATCACATTAGATGAATCATGCGTGACTAAAAGCGTGTAATTTGAATCCATAGAAACTCAACCTTCATTGTTAATATTGATAATGATAAAATGAAATATTTATCAAAATTTATATATTAAATAGGATAAAATATTCGTTTGTGTTTTTAAGTAGATTTTTAAATATTAATATCATATATATATATATCTATATATAGTATAAATTAGGATAAATGTTATTTATATTTTAATAAGTAGTGTGTGATATATTGTATATTATAAAAGTATTTTTAATATTAATAGATAATATATTTACTAAAAAAATAATTCATTTTGTGATTAATTAAAAGAGAAAAATGCTTTGTTAAGGGACAAAAGAAATACTTTTTTATTAAAAATATTGGATATGAAAAATGATTAGGGTTTGTTTATTTAATCCCAAATATCACTTTTTACTATTTGGACTATATATTTTTTCGAAAAAAAATATAATTTTTATTTTCATAAAAGATTCTATCATACATTATATTATATCAAATTTCAATCAAAATTTTTCAAACTAATCAAAAGAAACATACCTTAGATAAATAATTAATAGAATCAAAATTAAAAAAAATTTTAAATTATAAAATATAATTAACATATACTCCCTCCCTCCTTAATAATCTATTTATTTTTTAATTTTGGTCCGTCCAATAACAATATTTCATTTTTTAGTAATTGTATTATGTACCTAGTATTACAAATACCCTTTCAATTTGCAATATATTACACAAATGTCATTACCTTTATATCATACAATACTAATAGGATTAATTTAATTTTTTTACCTTTATTTTTACTTTATCCCAATATAATATTAATATTTTTAAAACTCAGTAAAATAAATAAATAAATATATAGATATGAGACGGAGAGAAAGAGAGAGTATAATACGTAGTATGAGATGTAAGACAGTAAAATATTATGGAACAGAAGAAGTACTTGTTTTGTGTTAAGGTACAAAGGAATTATTTTTTTTTATTAAAAAATATTATATACTAAAAATTGCATTTGTAATATAAGAATTAATTTTTTTTTATTAAAAAATATTATATACTAAAAATTGCATTTGTAATATAAAAATAATATTCATTCGTCTATTTTGAAAGTATATATTCCCCCGTCCCGCAAAAAAGTTGCCATTTGGTTTTTGCATCACTATACTTGACATTAAAAATATCATTGTATTTATTTGAATAATTTACTCAAAAAAAAATCATTATATTTATATCACAAGAGACTAATAAACATATTTTTGTTTTTTTTCTCTTGATTTCTATGGTGTATTGATATAATAATTAATATTTTCAAAGATCAACATGCAAAAAGATTATGACAACCTTCTTGCGGAATAGAGAGAGTATTTATTTTTGGTGCAAAATTTTAAAAATAATAATATATCAATTATAATAAATAGTAAAAAAATAATGTAAAAATAATTTTGAAGTTATATAAGAATATTTGTAAAAAAAAATGAAATCAATAGTTATTAAAAAAATAATTATTTTGTAATTGAACAATTTAAAATAAAAATATATAAAAATAGTGTAAAATAATTTTATCATTTTTTATATAAATATAATAATATGACAGTAACGGAAGAGTATTGTAAAAAGAAAAAAATAAAAAAAATTATAATTACTGATAAATAATTATTTTATAATTAAATCATATGAAATAAAAATATACTGTAGTATATAATTTGTGAGCTAAACAATAATGGTTAATTCTCCTAAAATTTCTATTTTGCAAATTGTTTTCTTGTCAGTTCCTATTTATATATTTGTTAATTTTAACTCCTTATTTATTCTTCACAATTCTCTATTTATAATTTGACACACTTTCATCTATAAATTTCAAAATTTGCCCTCAAATAATATTTTATTTATAATTCTATATACCTAATATAACTCAAAACCCTTAATTTGTGTAACTAATGATCAATTTTATTATTTTATTTTTCGCAAAATGATGACAAACTATACAGAATGTTCGGAGTACATGTTCGTTAACTTATTTATATTTTTGATTCAATCAAATATTAATATTCTTTATAAATATTTTGTATTAAAATTAAATAATTGTGAACATTTAAATATATATATGTAATTTACTTGTAAGTATTTATATATATAATTAATCTATTTATTGTTTATCAATATTTGTAAAATTGAGTATCACATACATTGATGTTTTCTATAAATATTTTGTATTATTATTTAAGGGTTGCAAATATATATATATATATATTTTATAATTATTTATTTTTCATATTGTTAACTATCTACTTATTAGTGAAATTATATGGTAGAAATTAAGGATTATATGTGAAGATAACAAAAAAAATAAATAAATTAAAGTTAAAAAAATAAATAAATAAGGGTATTGTAGTAATTTTAAGTGAATAAGGAGTAAAGAAGAAAAAATTAATAAGAATAAAGAGTAAACGAAAAGAATTTAATGTATAAGGACTAAATAGAAAATTTAATTTAAAATTAGAGAATTTAATGAAAGTTACCTATTTTAAATTGAATTATGAACAACTATATTTTATTTTTTAATAATTGTGTTAGTAAAAAATAACTGTGGATAAAAAATACTCCAGTAGTAAAAGTTAATCTGGGTGTGTTTGATCGAGGGATTGAATTTCATTTCCATTATTCATTTTATTTTTTTTTTCAAAAATATCAAATCAATTTTTTATTTTATATTATACTATAAAATCAATTTAGGATGTGTTTGTTTGAAGGATTTGTGAAAATTTTCACTATTCATCTCATTTTTTTCCCATCACATCAACACCTATTTATATCACGTTATAACAATTATTCAAATTTAAAATTTTTACTATTCAAATTCCTAACTCGAAATCCAAATCTCCAAACAAACATACCCTTATATATTATATTAAAAATCAATTTATATTACCATATTTTTTATTTTTTATATTATACTAAAGAAATCAATTTTAGATTCAAAACATCAAGTCAACATCTATTTATATCACATCATACAACTATTTATATTCAAAATTTTACTATTCAAATTCCAACTCAAAATCCAAAACCGAACAAACGCACTCCTAATTCCCAAATTGACGTGATATAAATAGCATCCACGACAATCGTCTGCAGTTCATCGTCGTCTTCACTGGCAGCTTCTAAAACCCTAAATTGCAACCCCTAATCAAATCTTCCCTTTCCAATGGCGTCCAATGCTGCCAGTCCAATGGAGACGCTCCTCGCCGTGGCTCCTTTCATCACCACTCCGTCAATCGCCCGCCGCATTCAGATCTTCCGCCACCAGATTCCTTCAATCCTCACTACTTCAGGTACTGCCTCCCTCCAATGACTGCTTTAGTCCACGACGCATCCACATCATTTCTGAATCTCCGTGATGTAAATTTCGCTTTTTTTTTTTTTTTTAATATATCGAACTCTTGCTTGGTTTGGGTCTGAAAGCTCTTTAATTTACCAATATGTTGCTGGAAAATTTAGAGCATTTCTTCCGCTGGAAGTGGCTGATGGGCTATCTTCTAATGCCTGATCGATGATTTAATCTCAGGATGCTTCTATTGGTTTAATTTGCTCATTAACACTTCATTGATGTACGGAGTTTATTGTTCCTGAGTTTATGATGTTGCTTATTTATTACCACAGCAAAGTGGATTGTTGTTGGATAGTAAAATCCAAAATTTTCCATTTGTTCCGATTTGATAACTGTTTTCTCTTTTTGTTTTTCTTTTTTCAATTCTTAGTACAGAGATTACGTAAGTGTTGTTTTGATCCAATTTATCATCCTGGCAGTGTAAAGTCACAGTTAATAAACTAATTTTAGCTAGAATATTTTTGGACTAAGTCATGCCTAAGGATCTCTCATTGGTATCTACTTGATGGATTTCTTTTAGCTATTATTCACGAGAGTTTGTTCCACACAAGAAAAATGAAATTTGGGGTGTGGAGGGGATTGCTGATATTATATTTACGTGATATCCCATCTCATTATACGAGATGAAACAGTAATTATTCAGTCAATGTGTGCATGTTGGCAATTGTTGTGCCATTTCTTAGATTGTATGTGTTAATGTGGCTCAAGAGCCAGGCTTTTTTTTTTTTTTTCTCATTTACTGGGGTTCAAGTTTGTCTCAAACAATGTATGACTTGAAGTCAAGAAAATGGAACACGGTTTCTATTTTTCATCTTTTCTTAATCAATGAACCTTCTAGATGATTGAAAAGTTGGAAGATTTTAAGTGCTAGTGTCTTGTCTGCATTAGTAAGAGTTGGATGACGAATACAGATTTTATGAGATTTCTTATCTGAAGTGCATGATCATAAGCTTGATCTGAGGACTTATGAATTCCTGCATTGTCCACCCACATGCGACACAATAATCGAGTTTGGTGTTATTCTAATGTGATTTGAAGTTATTTATTCATGTTCTTGATGAAAGAAATATTCTTGTAATGATGTTTGGTGCAAGGAATTTGGATCATTAGCTGGTTTACCAAAATTATTCTCTGCGACTCTTTTACATCTTAACATTCTTTCAACCTGCTCACAACAAATTCTTCAGACTCTACGCAGATAACTACAGATTTTGCGTCGCTACTGGTTGATTTGCTTTTCCAGACATTACCTATTTATGATGACCGGGGATCAAGGAAAGCGGTGGATGATGTTATTGTTAAAGCTTTAAGGGAAGCTGTATTCTTAAAAGTTTTTGCGGCAAACCTTGTACAGGCCATGGAAAGGCAATCAAAGTTCCAATCACTAACAGGAGCCTACAGGCTTCTGAAGTGGTCGTGCCTCCTTTTAATTTATAGCCAGTTTACCTCGTTATCAAAGAATGCATTCTGTAGAGTAGCCCAAGCGCAGGGATCAATACTTAACATGGTCATGGGAGGATCATTCCATATCAGAAGGGCTTGTATGAGAACATTTTGCCATTTGTTCAATAAGGTCTCAGCAATGTTCCCATGACACATGTTTGTACAATCTTTTATTAAGTATGTTCTATTTGGAATTTGGATTAGATATTTGCTTTTGTTGTTTCAGTCACCAGATATATACAAGACTTATGTTGATGAATTAAAGGATGGAAGGATCCCATACAAAGATAGTCCACAATTAATTTATATAATGCTCGACTATTCAAACTCAAATGGTACTACACTTGACAAATGCAAGGCGAGTATTCTTTTTATCACCTTATAACCTTTCAAATCTGTAGATTCCTCTATTTGGGTGTTTTCGAATGTTCTTATCTCTGTCTAATTTTCTTACAGGACACATTTCTTGATATATTTGTTAAAGCAGTTCTAAATGCCAGGGAGAAGCCCACAAAGGACCTCAGTGAGGCTTTTCTTCCATTATTTACTTGTCTGTCCCATGATGATTTTAAGAACACCATACTTCCATCATCCATCAAGATGTTGAAACGAAATCCTGAGCTTGTCCTTGATTCCATTGGAGTTCTTCTTAAATCTGTCAACCTCGATTTAAGTAAATATGCCATTGAAATTCTCTCGGTGGCATTAACACAGGCTAGGCATGCAGATGAAGAAAGAAGGCTTGCTGCTCTAGCCATAGTTAGGTGCTTGAGCCAAAAGTCTAGCAGCCCTGATGCTATAGAATCCATGTTTGGTGCTGTTAAGTCAGTTATGGGAGGTTTGTGTTTTAATGTGTTTCAATATATTTGATACTGATATAGATACTAATAGGGATGATGGCAGTTTCTAGTGCATTATGCACTGAGTGTTAATTATATTAGTTAGTTATCTCACTGATTCCGGGGTTTGAACAGGTTCTGAAGGCAGGCTTACATTAACATCCCAGAGAGTTGGCATGATAAATGCACTGAGAGAAATTGCCCATGCCCCAGAGGGCAAATATCTCAAGAGCTTGTCCCAATCTGTATGTGGGTTTCTCTTGTCCAGTTACAAGGATGATGGTATGTTTTTGGCTTATAACTAAGTCTATCCGTGAGTCCATCTTTGGAATATGTGCGCTTATTGTGACTCATAGTTTTAGTTCAATTGTTTATTTTTGGCTAATTTCTTTCACAATATAACCGCCATAAAAATGAAATTATGTTCTCACCCCGCTGGCTGAAGTATTTATTTTGTTTTACCCCATTAACTTGCACGTGTTAATGTCAGGAAATGAAGAGGTAAAGCTTGCGATTTTGTCTTGCATAGCTGCTTGGGCTGTGAAATCATCGGATTCTTTTCCCTCCGATCTAGTTGCTTTCATTGTTTCTGGGATCAAGGAGAAGGAAGCATTGAGAAGGGGCCACCTTCGTTGTCTGCGATCAATATGCAAAAATTCTGATGCAGTTACACAGGTGTGCTTATTTACGGTTTCTTAAAGAGTATTGTTGGTTCTGGGTTTTGCCTTTTCCAAACTTCAGTATTTGCCTCAAATCTTATGTTTCACGCATCAGATGACGACCTTACTGCCACCTCTTATCCAACTGGTCAAAACTGGTTTTACCAAAGCAACCCAGCGATTGGATGGTATTTATGCACTTCTCTGTGTTGTGAAAATTGCTGCTGTTGATGTCAAAGCAGGTGTGTGCTTGCTGCCATTATTTAATTTTTGTTACTTTTTGGCTTCTGTACCATTGTCATGATATGTTGTTCTTTCTTGTCTTTCATGCCTCTCATATTTGCCGTTTCCTTCAGATGAAACTCTATCAAAGGAGAAGATTTGGCAGTTGATATTGCAGAATGAACCTGCAATTGTCCCAATTTTGTTGGTCAGCGGCTTGCAACTTCCATTGTTGTTTTGAATATAGTGTTTACCAGTTTATGATATTAGCTCATTGATAAATTTTCAACTTGTATAATAAATTGAATAATTCACATGGAATGATGTGAGAAAATTTAAGCGCCAATATCATCTCACAATGGAGCATTTTCTTTCTGCTGCAGAAATAAATATTTTTGTTTTTCATTATCCTTCCATTTTGACCCCATTCATCGCCATTAACTATTTTTGTTTGCATTATCAGGCATCAAAATTATCAATTGAGGACTTGATGGCTTGTGCAGATCTGTTTGAAGTTTTGCTGGTATATTATCCTCAAAGGTATGCTTCTTGCGCTTTTGATTGTTCTTTATTTGATGATATGGGCAGTACATTATCAAATAAATGGTGTATCTGATTTGATTTAATTATATTGAGGTATGTTTGAATCATGTTCTTTCTTAATTTTCTAATAAGACTGCATTTTCTCCCTTTGGAATGGCCTAATGACATGCCTGTAGTAAGCATTGGTACATTCCAAAGTTTTACCATGCATCCTTCCCCTGAAAATTGTGGTCACTGTGTTTGGTTGACTTATTTTGATTAATTTTATACAGTTCCAAAATAAATGGACTCCAATATAGTTCTCTCATACACACGTATTGAAACGTCAACTATAACTTATATTAGATTCAAATTTATTTGGATACTGGCATACTATTGTTTAATATTATATTTACTAGCAACTTGCTTGCAATTTTATTCCTTGCATAAGTTTAAAAATTTTTGCACATACACATTGTTTAAATTTGTCCACAAGGTTACCTTGAATGAAGGAAAAAATAGTTGTTCTACAATCTAATAAATTTAAGGACCTTATTTTTTAAATTCATTTCTGTTGTGCTGCAGGATATTAGAGAATTTTTCAACCCAACCGTTTCTGCAGGTTCTTGGTAGTGCATACTTGGTTTTGTTGCAATAGTTTTGTCTCTACTAATACTTTACTGTTATATTTCAGTTTATATTGTTTTTGTTGTGCCATCCAAATTGGGACATTAGAAAAGCTGCTGAAGGCACCACCAAAAAGATTCTTGCCGCATCTCCTCTATTATCACAGGCTGCTCTGCAAGAATTTTCGAGTTATGTTACTGTTGTTGGAGAAAAAGTTGCTCTTCAGAAGATGAGGTGGAACTATTGCCAATAACTCTTATTTTTTTCTATTTTGATCTTTGTGTGTGTTCCACCTGATCCGATTCTGGGTTTTTATGAGTTGTTAGGACAACCTCTAAAGTTGAATCTAGGATTGGATTATCCCAAAAGTTTAAATATGCATGGATGCCTCACAGATTAAGTTTTCCATTATTGCATTCAGTGAACACATATGTTATTCATTATTTTCTTTTTAGAAAAGCATTGGATGCTGCAGCACTGACATGCTTTTACCATTGAACTTACATGTTACTCATTGTCTTGTTTTTATGAACCAGTGAATGTATTTACTTTCACTTCAGAATTTGCTACCTCATTTATGTGCCTATCTTGCTTTTAAATGAGTTTGTTTAACTTTCTGATTGGACACTTTTTCTTTTTGTAAATATTATTTTGTATTCAGTGATACAGAAAATGTAATGGATTCTCAAGTTCCGTTCCTTCCACCAGTTGAGATTTTGGTGAAGGCATTACTTGTAATAGCATCTTCTGTATTGGGTACTTCCCCAGATTCCTGTGTGCAGCTCCTATTTTGCTCGCATCATCCATACATTATTGGCACAGGGAAAAAGGACACAGTTTGGAAGGTATTTTTCTACTATCTTCTGCATCAATATAATTATTTATTCAATATTAAGTATAATTGCATTTGATAGTATGCATTGGTTTGCTTTTGATTCTGTGTTTCATCTGTAGCATGTTTTATTTATTTATTTATTATTTTTTAAAACTTGATAATTATCTGTAATTAATTGATTCATCCATCTGTGTTTGTTTCCTTGTGCTCATTTGTTCCTTCATTCTTCAGAGGCTGCAAAAATGTCTGCAGAAGCTTGGCTTTGATGTGATTGATCTTGTTACCACTAATGTGACCAAGTTATTCAAGGTAAATTGCATCTTTGATTGAGGGTATTGGTTAATTAACTCTGTTAATAATGGCTTGTTTCTTATATGTTGCAAACTTAATGTTGTATGTATGTATGAGAAAGCTTTACATTAGCAGCTTTCTGTTGTGTGAACTTGTTTTCCAAGTTTGGAGGCAGTTCAAATATTTTCTGCAATTTTATTTCATGACTGGTATCTTATTAGGGTTCAGGGATTAGAAATATAGTATTTAAAATTCCTCTTTATTCAGTGATCATTGAATTGGAACTTCCATTGTTTAGGATGCTGTGTCCTTTTGTTGGCTGTTAAGTGTTGAGTTTGCAAATAAATAACTTGCTAGTCAATGCTTGCCCAGTTGCTTGTTATGTAATCTCTCCATGTGGAAGTTTCATTTTTCAGATAAGTGATGGCAACGGTGCAATTGTAAATATGATGAGGAAGTAATTGCAGAAGTTAATAATTTTACTTTATTTTGTTTATGAAGGGGTTGTTTGGTTCAAAGGGGTTGATGAGCTCTAATACCTTTGAACAAGAAGGGGCTGTAAATTCCTTGATAACACTGATGTCCATAATGCCAGGAGATACTTATGCCCAGTTTTCAAAGGTTTGTTACACTTTACTTCTGCTTTTGCTTTTGATCAGCGGGGATTTAATTGGTTTATTCAGCTCTTACTGTGCCATTCAATTTTGCAGCACTTTATCAATCTTCCAGATCGTATTGCTCATGACACACTCTCAGAAATCGATATCCAGGTAATATTTTGTGCAGAATTTTGTCAAGTTACTTCAAAAAAATTGAACTCTTTAAATTTGCTTTTAAGAATTTATTAGTTCTATGCATTGTTTACCTGGTTTTTTCTTCTTACTGTTCAATTCTCAATTTCCCTCCAAAAATATCACATCCAATCTAATACTTCCAGTCATCACATCCAACTATTATTTCACCTTAAAGAACAACATAACTGAAAAAAAAAACAAACATGTAAGCAAACCCTCAGATTGTAGCTACATAACTAAGACACGGACACCGAATGGAGTACTAACTATCAACAAAAGCCTAATAAAAATCCAAACAAAACATGTCCGAATCACTTTGTTTGAAATATGAGAAGTAAGAAAGGTGAGATACTCAAGCAAAGGTGCCTTATATTCAAGAAATAACTGCTTGTTGAAGAGGGGGGGCGCGGGTTGGAATTAACATATAACTACTATCTATTAAAGATAGTAGTGGGGAGTGTGAAAATGAAGAAAATTATCTTATTTTGATTATTTATTTAACAATGTAGTAGTGCTCCGATTGTTTTTGCTTGTATGACCATCTATGATCATATATTATGACATTTTGTTTTTGTTTAGCATAAGACTTTAAGTATTAGTTATATTAATTATTAGACTAATTTATTTGTTTTTCATATGCATATTGATTGTAACTTATCATAATAATATTTCTTATATTTATATATTAAAGTTTTCGAATGACGGCCATTCCACTATCCATGCTCCCTCTGTAGCATTTTCGGGTTTTCCGAAATATACTGCTATCGGAAACTGACAAAAATCGGCTGTTATTGATACACCCTTATTCTACTGATTGGGAACAGTTTTAATTGCTCATTACAAGGACAAGGCTTCTATCACCTTTTTATTCCTTCAACATTTTTACCCTTTTTGTGTGGACTTTGCAAGAAATTTGTTTCATAATAAACTGTAGTTCTAGATCAGCTACCCAAATTTCTATTTTAATCTTTGGAAAAGGGATATATACTGTTGTTCTAGATCAGTTACAATGGCTCGGATTTCTGCAACATTTGAGTGTTATATGCCTATGTGTTTCAACATAATAAGTGGTTTTCCTTCACTTGGGTTTAAACGTTGAGCATAATCTGCAGGAGTATATTTAATGGATGGAATAGATATATGTACTTGTTTGCACTTGGAGTGGTTGCAAAGCTTGCAAAATACTAGTTTGAAGTTTGAACAATAATCAGAAGTGCTACCAAACAAGATTAGGTGTTCTCTATATACAGGAGGCTACTTCATTATTATAATCTAATAGCGAAAGCCTAATCATGATTCAAGATTCCATTGAAAGTGGCATTGTGAATACACGGGAAACAAGCTACTTGTTATAATCTATGAAGAAAACTTGATAATTCTTTGCAACGGAACTAAGCATTGTTCCAATTGTCGTCTTGCATGCTATTTATGCATTTTGAGTAACTTGCATTGTGTGTGGTTGGCAATAGACTGACATTTGGTTGTGTTATCATTATTCAGATTTTCTATACTCCTGAAGGAATGCTGTCAACTGAGCAAGGTGTTTATATTGCTGAGTCCGTTGTCTCCAAGAATATAAGGCAAGCTAAAGGGAGGTTCCGTGCATATGACAATGATGAAAATATGGTATTTGCTTGTGCATTAATCATATTGAATGAATAGTTATATATTCGGTTCCTATCTAAGCAATTCTAGATTCAGGACCAAGCGAGTTCAAATCATTCAACCAGGCGAGATGCACCCAAGAAAGAGGCTGCTGGTTCTGTTAAAAAAGATTCTAAAGCAGTAAAGAAACCGGGTATGCCATTTATAGTTTCTACATTTAAGAAATTTCACAGGCTTTCAGGTTTATTTTATATATAGTTGTTTCCATTTGTTTTAATACTTGTAGAAAAAGCAAAATCAGCAAAGGAAGAAGCTCGTGAATTTCAGCTTAAAGAAGAGGCTTGCATTCGTGAAAAAGTCATGGCAATTCAGGAGAATATTTCTCTGATGCTTAAAGCTTTGGGAGCAATGGCCATAGCTAATCCCATCTTCACACATAGTCAGCTTCCATCTTCGGTTAGTTTACATGTTTATGCTTGTTTTTTTATTTATTTCTCCTGCATTTCTGCATTAGGTTCTTACAATAGTGCCTTTTTTTACATAATATTTGCTAATTTAAATTGTTTTTGTTTTATGGATGATCTAATTTTGTGTCTGGGCTTGCGTGCTGTGCATAATTTTGAGAAAAAATTCTATGAAAATGTTGCTTTTCATAAGTTTTAATGGATGGTATATAGGAAGCAAAGAGATTTCTCCTTTCATGCAGGGAAACCACACTATACTACTGATGCATTCTGATATACAATAATCTTGAATATGCGGGACTTGTGTGAATACTCTAACTGTAGTCCCTTGTTAATCTATCGAGTACAAGTATCCAGTAAAATACATCCTTAAGATTTTGTTAGGACATACTAGTTTATCCGTTTAGTTGAATGGGAATGAGATACTATTATCTGCATGGCTGAACAATTTGAGATCTGTTTTGGATCACGTGTTTGGCACTGTATGGACTTTACATATATTTAATGTAATATATTTCAGGTTAAGTTTGTCAATCCGTTGTTGCGTTCCCCAATTGTTGGCCATGCTGCCTTTGAAACATTAGTGAAACTTTCGAAATGTACTGTTGAACCTCTCTGCAACTGGGCTCTTGAAATTGCAACTGCTCTACGGTTGATTGCTACAGAAAAAGCTAGTGTTCTGTGTGATTTATTTCCATCTGTGGCTGAAAAGGAGGACGGCACTGAGCATTCTCTCGGTCTGTTTGAACGTTTAGTAAGCGGGCTTACTTTTTCTTGCAAATCTGGACCTCTACCAGTTGATTCATTCACATTTATATTTCCGGTATGCCTACCTTTTTCTTTTTTCTTTTCTATCCTTTTGTTTGATGCTACTATTCTACCTGGCACTAATTGACTTTGCATTTATATATCAATATTTCATGTAGATAATCGAGAATATTCTGCTTTCTCCAAAGAAGACGGGTCTTCATGATGATGTTCTTCAGATACTGTTCTTGCACATGGATCCTATTTTACCCCTTCCTAGGATTCGGATGCTATCAGTAATGACCTGATACTTGGGACATTTCCTATTTGCCTGGAATTTTCTCATTTCTATGTTTCTCACAAGCTACACTTTTTTTCAGGTTTTATATCATGTTCTAGGCGTTGTTCCTTCTTTCCAAACGTCAATTTGCCCGGCACTGAATGAATTGTGCCTTGGTCTACAACCAGAAGAAGTGGCACCTGTATGCTTTTCTTATTTTTAATTCATTGCCATACCTCTCTTAGACCTCCAGAGCTCACATTATTTCTCACTTGACAGGCTTTATGTGGTGTTTATGCCAAAGATATCCATGTAAGAATGGCCTGCTTGAATGCTGTTAAGTGTATTCCTGCTGTTTCCAATTGTTCAATTCCTCAAGATGTTGAGGTTGCAACCAGCTTGTGGCTTGCTTTGCATGACACAGACAAGGTATTGTGGTACCTTTTTCATTATTTATTGCTCTCATGATATTTACTCTTCGGATTTGACATATATTGTATTACTGTAAGTGATGTTTAGTTTGAGACTACCATATACTGTGGTCTCAGGTGTAAAGAGGTGTATTAATGCAGCTGAATTTTTCTGTATTTCTTTTCTTCTTCCTCCAGTCAGTTGCAGAGGTTGCTGAGGATGTTTGGGATTGCTATCGTCATGAGTTTGGTACAGATTACTCTGGACTTTTCAAAGCACTTTCACATGTTAACTATAATGTTCGAGTTGCTGCAGCAGAGGCCATTGCTGCTGCTTTGGATGAAAACCCTGACACGATTCAGGTGCATGCTAGTCCAATAAGAAGAGTTTGACAGATGAGTAATTTTGTTTTCTTATCTGCTAACAATGTATATTTCAGGAATCTTTATCAACTATGTTTTCTCTATATCTCCGAGATGTTGGATCTGGTGAGAACAGTGATGCTGGTTGGCTTGGAAGACAGGGAATTGCTCTGGCTTTACTCTGTGTGGCAGATGTTCTTCGAACTAAAGATCTTCCTGTTGTGATGACATTTCTTATATCACGAGCTTTGGTATGCATATTTCACAATTTCTATCTCATTGTTAATTCTGATTGACAATCCTTGCATTCTTATAAATGCTTCATCAAGTTATATCTTGTGAATTATATTGATCGATTAGATGTCTTTTTTGATGAATCCGTGGAGGCACTGTCTTAGTTTCTATATAGATTATTGCAGTTTTTTTGTTCATTCCCATGATTGATTGATTTTTATTTATTTTTTCCCTGAGAAATGCTGCTTCAACTTTTAATTGCAGGCTGATCCTAATGCAGATGTTCGAGGAAAGATGGTCGATGCTGGTATCTTGATTATTGACAAACATGGAAAAGAAAATGTTTCCTTATTGTTTCCCATATTTGAGAACTACTTGAACAAAAAGGTCATTTGTTCCAGCCTTTCACCTATTCTTGTGTCATCTACTAGAGGTTTTTCACACAGATTCTATCTGGATATTACATACCTGATTAGAGCTTGAAATGTCTAATTCTTGGTTTCCATATGTGAAGGACTTCTCTTATGCCTTGAATGGTGAAAAGCACAATTTTGAATCCAGTTCATGTTATTTTATTTATCTTTGCAGGCATCAGATGAGGAAAAATATGATTTAGTGCGTGAAGGTGTAGTTATTTTCACGGGAGCTCTGGCAAAACATCTATCCAAGGTTTCAATATCCTTTCTTGTAAAATTTAAGACATCTTAATATCTTACCTTAAATTTCATTTCTTTTGGTCATATACAAGGGTGACCAAAAGTTAAACGCCATGTCATAGTAACATGTATATATTTCTTGAGTTCTCATTTCTTTTGGTTATATACCAGGGTGACCCAAAAGTTCATGCTGTTGTGGAGAAATTGTTGGAGGTGTTGAACACTCCTTCCGAGACTGTACAACAAGCAGTTTCCAGCTGCCTTTCACCATTAATGCAATCAAAGCAGGTATTTTATTAATTGATCTTTTATTTTTTATGTCCAAGAATTTTTTGGGGTAAAAATATTGCTGCTTCTATGATCCAACTTGAATTTTCAATTTCTCAGCTGATGGGGAATTTTGGTTTGTCATTAGGACTTATAATTGGTCATTCTCGCCGTTTCTTGTGGTTGTTAAATATATTTTATATGGTGCTTTATTTACTGGAAGCCATCATAGATACCTTATGCCTACGGTACTTGTACAAGATTTCAATTTGAAATGAAACTCATCCTGCGGCCTGCTGGTGCATGTATCTGTGGTGGATGTAATATTTCTATATTTCTTCTTGTTATATCTGTGTGCTATCTCTCTATATGGGAATTTATTTAACTTTGGTCAGACTAATGGAGATTTTGTGAAGTATGTATTTTGCATTAGAACAAAAGAATGAAGATGTTCTATAGCTGTTTTCATTGTGGCGTTGCCATTTGTTTTCAGTGGCTGGCTAATTGTAAATGTTGATATTTTGATTGAGTAGTAAACAGTAGTAAGGTATATTTTACAGTATCAATAATATTGTTATCACTGTTCTTATGGTGTTTTTTAGTGGTTTGGATATATTAAGATTATTCAAGGAAATTCTTAAAAAACTGGAGCTATTCAGCCATGTAATTAATTTATTTAATTTCAACTTACAATTTGCTTTATTGTCTATTATTTTTTACTTTTTTTTGGATATATGTTTGTTTTGTTTTTCCATATTTTATTCTTAATTTTCTTGTGAAGTTTGATTGGTAATAGAGAGCATAAGAAAATAAGTTGGTATTGAGGTGTCTGATGCCGAATGCTCTATGTTGAGTTGTCATCGGTGTTTAGGTGGCGCTTTGGTAATGTACATCACCTATCAATTGTGTAAGAAATGAAAATCATTGAAAGACAGGCTGCCCAGACTTGTACTTCCCTGTTTTAGCATATTTTGCTGTGGTATTTTCTTTTTATAAAAAATCAACAACATAGGGAAAATAATGCTGAGTACCTAATGCCTTGTTATTTGCTGATTGTTATTTATATTGCTCTTTTCTTCTTCATTTACCAATATGGCAAGTGGTTTAATGTTGTTGTGTAATGTGGCAACTTACACATTAGGAAGAAGCAGAAGCTCTGATTTCCAGACTGCTTACTCAACTAATGAAGAGTGACAAATATGGTGAGCGTCGGGGAGCTGCATTTGGATTGGCTGGGGTAGTTAAAGGATTCAGAATATCAAGTATAAAGAAGTATACTATCATGAAAGCCTTACAAGATGGTCTTTCTGACAGGTATATTTTTTAACTTATTTTACAAGATGGTTGAGTGTATAACAATATCAGTTGATGTTTATCAAGTCTAGTGTTTTGACCACACTGGAAATTTCTTTGTTTCATCTGCTTGTGCGCCTAATGTGACATGACTACCACACCATTAATAGAAGACATTGTTTTGTTTGTATTTCCTTGGTCAAACTCTTACCAATTATTGTAAATTCATAGATGGTTCTGTGATTTAAAACATCAGTCCATTTTCAACTTATAATGAAGAAATATGGCTTTTGCATCTTTACAAAAAATAAGTGAAGTACCTGTTCTCTTTGTTCCGAAATCATCTCTGGAAATGCTTGTGTGCTCTGGTTAAAATTACAAGTAAATATGTTTTCATTGCAGAAATTCTGCTAGAAGCCGAGAAGGAGCTTTGCTGGCCTTTGAATGTTTATGTGAAAAACTGGGGAGATTATTTGAGCCGTAAGCTTATAGTTATTTTTTTTTTATTAGCTTGTGAAATACTTGCAATTCCTGATTTATAAAAAGTTGCTAACAAGGTTTGTATGTGTTTTTGTCAGGTATGTGATTCTACTGTTACCTCAACTTCTAGTATCTTTCTCTGATCCAGTTGTTGCTGTTAGAGAAGCTGCTGAGGGTGCAGCTCGTGCAATGATGTCTAAGCTAACTGCTCAAGGAGTTAAACTTGTTCTGCCATCCCTTTTAAAGGTCTTCATTCTGGACACAATCTCATTATGAATTTGTTTTTTTCTGAACCAAACAAAATTGTTTCTGATGATTATTGATGTGAGTATTATGTGAACCAGCTTCATAAATTCCCATTGGTCTGGGTTGTATTTTTTTTTAATTTTTTAATTTTTTTATGTAAACAATTTTCATTGTAGTTGCATATGGAGCTTTTTGGTTGTCTGGAATCTAGAAATGCAATAATTTTAAATAATTTTTTGAGGAATCCATAGTACATGTTTAATATTGGCCTCATTTTGTGTTTGTGCGCAGGGCCTTGAAGATAAAGCATGGAGAACAAAGCAAAGCAGTGTACAGCTTCTAGGAGCAATGGCTTACTGTGCTCCACAGCAACTGTCTCAGTGTCTTCCAAAGATCGTCCCAAAGTTGACTGAGGTTGTGGAGTAATGTTAAATATCCTGCCTTTCTTTTTTCGTTTGCTTCTTTTGCACAGTAAACACACAGACATGGATGTGCAAATGGCAAGTTACTACATTTGATCTGTTCTGTTTATTATTCTGCAGGTTCTTACTGATACTCACCCCAAAGTTCAGTCTGCTGGGCAAACTGCTCTCCAGCAGGTAACTAGAATGTTATTTTGAGTTTCAATTTCAATTATTGTGCTTATGTTTTGATGACTCTTCTTTCTATCAGGTTGGAAGTGTGATAAAAAATCCAGAGATTTCTGCCCTTGTTCCCACTCTTTTAATGGGTCTCACAGACCCCAATGATTATACAAAGTATTCTCTTGACATTCTTCTACAGGTAAGTGCCTCAGCCATTTCGATTTGTGGTTTTGTCCATGATAAATATCTCCTGTTTTAACGACTTAGTATATTTGCAGACCACCTTCATTAACACTGTAGATGCTCCATCCCTTGCACTATTGGTTCCCATAGTTCATAGAGGACTCAGGGAAAGAAGTGCTGAAACGAAGAAGAAAGCCGCCCAAATAGTTGGAAACATGTGTTCATTAGTTACAGAGCCAAAAGATATGATTCCTTACATAGGTTTACTTCTTCCTGAAGTTAAAAAGGTACTTTTGTAACTTGAAATAGACATTATCACGTTAATGAGTAGGAAGGATTTCGGATTAAAACTTGATAATTCTTCATGCAACAGGTCCTGGTAGATCCAATTCCTGAGGTTCGTGCTGTTGCTGCTAGAGCCCTTGGTTCTCTTATAAGAGGAATGGGTGAAGATAACTTCCCTGACCTTGTCCCATGGTTATTGGATACTCTGAAGTCTGATGGTAGCAATGTTGAGCGGTCTGGAGCTGCTCAAGGGCTGAGCGAGGTGAAGTTTTTTAGCATTTATTACCTTTCATTCTCTGCTTTTGAATGGCCTGATTTTTTCCTTCATTAATCTCAGTAGATAGCCAGAACTGGATGTAGACAACCAATCATATAGTTGGAAATTAATATATCATGAACTAACCTTTGTAGAAGCAAAATGAGATAAAAGTTTCTTTGTTCTTGCTTTTTGGCAAAAGATTGAAAGAATAAATTTTATTTTTAAGAATCCTTCTCATTGTAGTATAGTATTTGGGGCAAGTATTCATAAAACTACCATGATGTTGTTGAATTAAATTCTTACTACATATGTTAATATGCTGAGTATATTCCAATATAATAGTATCATAAGAATGATAAGATCTATCTTCATATCCGTTATGGCTTGCAAGTTGATGTAACCTTTTTAGCCATTGAAGTTATTAGTTTTCCATTCACTGAATCATAGCTGTAATCCATCATTGAAGTTTTAGATAATAAGCAACTCAAAAATTTTGCGAAAGGCTGTCAATATAGAAGAGTATATTGATAGCGTATGGTTGAAATGCCAATCACACATTTCATATTGAAACTCCTTGAAATGGAAACCATATGGTTCTCTCTTATTGATGACTGCAGTTATAAGTACTTTGTCAACACAACTCTACGTCGTTAATACCCAAAGCATTGATTGAAATTAGTGGTGTTGCTGCTGTTGCAAAATAAATGAAATGGCTTAATATGTCTAGTCTTCATGTGGATTTCGTATTCTAATATTATGATTGTAAATCAGTCTGTTTTGGGTTCCGTTTCACATATATATATATTGATTTTAAATCTGTATTTTGCAATGAAAATAATGGAGCAGTATTCTTTGTCCTTCTCTAGGTATTGGCTGCTCTTGGGACACAGTACTTTGAGGACATACTACCGGACATTATGCGAAACTGTTCTCATCCAAAGGCTTCAGTTCGAGATGGTTATTTAACACTTTTCAGGGTGTGTATTTTCTAAGCAGAATGTGCTTTTCTTTCAGTATTGTTTCTACTTCTATGTATAGGGTTTTGAAAATTCGATTAAATTCACTTCATTTCATTCTGCAGTATATGCCAAGATCTTTGGGTGTTCAGTTCCAGAAGTATTTGCAACAGGTGCTACCTGCTATTTTAGATGGTATGCCCCCTATTAGAAATTTATTCTTCTCCAATGTTTTGCCCTAATGGGTGATATATTCTTGTCAATAGCTTGCCTTGGGGCTTTTATATAAACTTATAATTGCATGCATCTTTTGGTTCAGGTCTTGCTGATGAGAACGAGTCTGTACGTGAGGCAGCACTCAGTGCTGGGCATGTTCTTGTTGAGCATTATGCAACCACGTATGTTCTATGCACTTCATAGTTGCTCAATCTTTGTGATTGGTTTCATTTGCATGCAGTTGCATCACAACATTACATTAACCACCACTTGGTTAGCTTAACAAATTTGAACCAAAGTATGAAAATTATCCATGTAATTTTGTTTTACATAATGTTTCTATGGTATACATGCTTAACAAACCCATTGGAAGTCATTGTACTGTTGTCCGTGTGAATATTGTGGATGAAGTATGTTTAGGGAGCTCAAGTTTAGCACCTTTGATAGTTAGATTTGTGGTTCATTATCTAGGTGAACATATTATGGCTGGATTGGATGCACGTTTAGTTTTAGCCATTGCTTTCCATAATAATCTCTGTCTTTTATCTTGTCAGATCTCTACCTTTGCTTCTGCCGGCTGTTGAGGATGGTATATTCAATGATAACTGGCGGATTCGGCAGAGCTCTGTGGAATTGTTAGGGGATCTTCTATTTAAGGTGCTTATCTTTGTAGCTTTTCTTCTCTTTCTCTCAATGAAGTTATTTGATTATCTGATCTATTAATTTATTAGGTTGCTGGGACATCTGGGAAAGCCCTTCTTGAGGGTGGCAGTGACGATGAAGGTTCTAGTACTGAAGCACATGGACGTGCTATAATTGAAGTACTTGGAAGAGAGAAACGTAATGAAGTTCTTGCTGCTTTGTACATGGTTCGTACTGATGTCAGTGTCACTGTTCGTCAGGTACTGTGAAACAATATTTACTGTGACTTCTACTTTGGTTTTTCTTCCCCGGTTCTTTCCAGTGTAGTATTTCTTATGGTACCTTTCTGTTCTCAACAGACAGCATTGCACGTATGGAAAACTATTGTTGCAAATACCCCAAAAACTCTGAAGGAAATCATGCCAGTTCTAATGAGCACTTTAATAAGTTCTCTAGCTTCATCCTCTTCAGAAAGGCGACAGGTCCCTTTCCAAATTCAAGTCCACTGATTATCAAAGCATTATATGAGCATCAATTTTTATGATTGATTTGGTCATATTCAGGTTGCTGGGCGTTCATTGGGCGAGCTTGTCAGGAAGCTTGGTGACAGAGTTCTTCCTCTAATTGTTCCTATTTTGTCTCAAGGCCTTAAAGACCCAAATCCTAGTAGAAGACAAGTTAGTCTTCTTCCTTTGTTATATTTGTATGATCAAAACCTTAGCTTAATAACATTGGTTGCTGGCATATGTTGCTAAGATGTTACTTAATTGCGACATTTAGATAACAAGTTAGCAACTTGTGTTACACGTAGAGATAAGGAAATTTTACATGTCACTTACAATTCCTAGCTGTTCAGAATTTATGAGAAATAGATGTTGTCTAGCTGGCATTTTTTTCTCTCTTTATATACGTGTATTAACTGTATGCAATAATTTTTTTGGCACAATTTAGGGTGTTTGCATTGGTTTGAGTGAGGTGATGGCTAGTGCTGGGAAGAGTCAATTGCTGACTTTCATGGATGATCTCATTCCAACAATCCGCACTGCCCTTTGTGATAGGTATTAATAATTTTTGGAGGTTGAAATAGCTAACAATTTGGTTTATGGCTAAGTGATGGCTTTTTATATGTTATTTTTACAGCACTTCAGAGGTTCGCGAGTCTGCTGGCTTAGCATTTAGTACCCTCTACAAGGTATAACTTTTGAGTACTTTAAAAAGATTTCTTCTGAATTACGTGAAGTACTTAAAGGTCTTCTGTCTCATGGTAATATAGAGTGCTGGCATGCAAGCAATTGATGAAATTGTTCCTACATTACTTCATGCATTGGAAGATGATGAAACATCTGATACTGCCCTTGATGGCTTAAAGCAAATATTGAGGTGAGTGTTTTTTCGAGGTCCAAATGGCCGTTGTTGGTGCTTGTGTATATTTTGTTTCAGATGGGGGCTAAACTATCTTTGGTTATTTCAGTGTTAGGACCTCTGCTGTGCTGCCTCACATTCTTCCTAAGCTTGTTCATCCTCCTATGTCGTAAGTACAAACATCACCTTACTTCCTAAATTCTTATATGTGTGTCCTACCAACATATTATGATTTCTCTACAGTGCTTTCAATGCCCATGCATTGGGAGCTCTGGCAGAGGTTGCAGGACCTGGCCTTGATTTCCACCTTGGCACTATTCTTCCTGCTTTACTAGCTGCAATGGATGATGATGATGTGGTATGATCCTTCTCTCTCTCTCTCTCTCACACACACACACATGTACACACACTTCATGATGCATCCATACGAAAAGAGGGACTTATTTAACAATCCCAAGAAAAGTAGTTTGACAAACTGTGTCTATTTAATATGCAAGATGGAAGCAAATCTTTGGTAAACAAAACTATGTATAAATTAGTTCAATCTGCTTAATCCTTTGTTTGATTTATCATATGTACATAATCATGATTTTAGATTACTGATTTCCATGCATTCTTTAATGGTATAATAAGATAGTTGCAAAAACCTGCTAACTATTGAAATGCTTTGTATGATGCATGTGTGTCTTGTTTTCTTTTTATAGAGATTCATAACCATAATTATAATGGCTCTAAGTTATAGTTGCTAGTTTTTTTTTGTTTTTTTGTTTTTTAAAGAGCACTCTAATTCTCGTTGCTCTGTCACCTCTGCATTCTTGAAAGATATTACTAAAACTAGGATGAGTATTTACTAATCCATTTCATAACGTTCTCTTCCTTTCACATTAGACTAATTTGGTGCTCTACCTGTAAGTCTGAGTGAGTTATGTTCATGTAAGTTTATGATGTTCTACCTGTCCATCTCTTCATAATCTCAGGAAGTTCAACGGTTAGCCAAAAAAGCCGCAGAAACTGTTGTTTTGGTGATTGATGAGGAAGGCATTGAATCTTTGATTTCAGAACTTCTAAAAGGTGTTGCAGATAATGAGGTATGGATTTGCTTACCAATTACATTTATCAGACATGTCCCTGGATCCACTACAAACAAAATCATAAACTATACTATGATGAAGAAATGAAGTATAGCTGATGCATTGCTTGTTATTGTTCCAGGCTTCAATAAGGAGGAGCTCATCATATCTGATTGGATATTTCTTTCATAACAGTAAAATGTATCTTGTTGATGAAGCATCGAACATGATATCAACCTTGATAATTTTGCTTAGTGACCCTGATTCTGCTACAGTTTCGGTAAATGCTTAAATGGAGTTGTGCTAGCATGTTGTTTGATGGAGGGCGTCTAATAGTGAAATTATATATATAATCATACTAATGGTTTCTACAGGTTGCTTGGGAAGCATTGTTAAGAGTAGTTAATTCGGTGCCCAAAGAGGTTCTGCCTTCGTATATGAAGCTGGTTCGGGATGCTGTGTCCACTTCTAGGGACAAAGAACGCAGGAAGAAGAAGGTAGGAAACAGTCTAATGTTTTCAGATCGTAAAACATAAAAACACCTTCAAACTGAGTTAACATTTAAAATTATTCATTTTAGTGAAGTTACAATCATTTATTTTATGGATACAGGGTGGACCAGTTTTGATCCCTGGATTTTGTCTCCCAAAAGCACTTCAACCCATACTGCCTATCTTTCTCCAGGTAATTTTAATTCATAGAAGTTGATCATTGCCTTTCAATGCACTGCATCAACTTATTGCTGGAAGATCCTATTATTAGTTGAATATTAGCAAATGGAATCTTAAATGTTTTTATTTTTTCACCCAGTTTCTAGAATAACTGTGGAAAAAAAAAAAAGAAGTGCTGGAATTGTTATAATTTTTTCTTTTTTTTTTTTGGCCTTGATATGCAATTTACTTTCCAGGGCCTTACAAGTGGATCAGCTGAACTACGAGAGCAAGCGGCTTTGGGTCTTGGAGAGTTAATTGAAGTGACAAGTGAAAAAGCCCTGAAAGAGTTTGTTATTCCAATTACTGGGTATGCAAGTTGAGATTTTTATTATTTTGCTATTTAAATGTCTTTGAAACATGTTGATGCCATAGGTAATAAGACGAAAGGTTATAGATTTGTTTAGCATTTCCTTCTGAACATATACATATGCTTACTAAGTACTACCTGTGGTTTTCAATCAAAATTTAATAGTCAAATTTAATCCACAGATTAATTGTATCTATGGTTATCAGTTAACTGGAATATGCATCGTTAACATATGAGGTTTCTAGAGTAAGTTAAATGTTGACATTGATCTGACACTTGCCTTCTTTAGGCCCCTGATTCGCATTATAGGGGACAGATTTCCTTGGCAAGTCAAGAGTGCAATATTATCGACTTTGACTATCATGATCCAGAAGGGTGGGATTTCTCTAAAGCCTTTCCTTCCCCAACTTCAAACAACCTTTGTCAAGTGCCTTCAAGACAATACGAGGTTAGTTTTGTGGAAATGCAGCCAGTTTCTATCCATGGCTTCTTCTTATTGAAATCCTAAATATGCTTACTAGTTACATTTCAAACTTATCGAATACTTTGTGTAATGAGTTGCTCCTGCAATTTAGCTCCTGCAATTTAGCCAAGAGCTTTCGGCTTGAATTACCCATATAGCTGTTTTTTGATGGGCAACCCTGTTAGAAGCCTTAATTTGTAATGTTTGTTGCTAAGCATATAATCCTAGATCACGCGTAAAGTGAACTCTTCTGCAGGACGATTCGTTCAAGTGCTGCCTTTGCACTTGGGAAGCTTAGTGTTCTCAGCACGAGGATTGATCCTTTAGTTGGTGATCTTTTATCTGCACTGCAGGTAAGTACCACATCTATATGCTTTCTTGCATACCCATCAAGAACTCTCTGACATAATCTGTACATTGCTGCTTGACAGGCCTCCGATCTTGCAATTAGGGAGGCAATATTGAAGGCCTTGGAAGGTGTGATAAAGAACACTGGAAAGAGTTTAAGTGGTCCTGTTATAACTCGCGTCCACACTCAGCTGAAGGATATGATGTATAGTGAAGATGATCAAATACGAAGTTCCGCTGCTAGCATTCTGGGAATTTTATTACAGGTGAATGTCAATAACTTTGAATGTTGTTTGCTTAAGTGATTGTGTCATTGGAAATAGTTCATGGATCGATTGCATTTGACATTCAATCGATTGGAAATTTCCATCTGCATATCCTCGTCACTCCCTTTATTCCATGTATCATATATTAACTGTTAAGAGCAATGTCCTTGCTCTATATATTTATATATTTGTATATGTTCTTTCGTGTGGAGAATTCTGTCGGTGTTAACGGATGTTTCTGTGTGACAGTACTTGGAAAATGCTCAACTTTCTGAAATACTCGTGGAGATAGTAGATTCAGCCTCGTCTTCTACGTGGACTACAAGACATGGATCTGCACTTGCTATATCGTCCATCCTTAAGCATAATGCTGCCATAGTTTGTGCATCTTCAATGTTTTCAAGTATTGTCGATTGCTTGAAAACTTTGTTGAAGGATGAGAAGGTAAGTCATTGTCGTTTGGGTTATTTTTCCATATGATTTATCGCAAATTTAAACTATAGAGTATAGAAGTTAGTACTTTCTAAACATCAGTTTCTGGTCTCTTTCTATTATTGTTGATTCTACAAATATTGATATAGTTTTTCTCTTAATCCAACATCTGATATATGTATTTATGTGCAAGTATTTTAAAAAACAATAATATATTTGCGATGATCGAAATATTTCCATGAATTCACCTGGTGGTCTTAACACACGCATTTTCATGTAGTTCCCCATTCGTGAATCCTCAGTTCGAGCCCTTGGAAGTCTTCTGCTATATCAAATCAAGAATGATTCTTCAAACACAAAAGCCCATGCTGCAACTCTGAACTATATAGTATCGGCATTAAAGGATGACTCGAGTGAAGTCAGAAGAAGAGCCTTAAGTGCATTGAAGGCAGTTGCAAAAGTACATATAATTGCATAATCGTCACCATGGCACTTTTTTAATGCATTTTTTACTTTTAAATTTTATTTATATCTCGATGGATACCAAATCTCAACATTGTTTGTGTAGGCTAATCCGCAAGCGGTCATAATTCATGCTTCATTATTCGGACCCGCCCTTGCCGAGTGCTTAAAGGATGGATCCATGCCTGTCAAGGTAGCAGCAGAAAGATGTGCTCTGCACAGCTTCCAATTAACCAAGGGTACGGCGCAGTTCTTGATTGTTATTTCTTAATCATGCAATAATTCGTAGCTAACTCAAATTCTACCACCTGTTCTCTTCCAGGCGCGGAATATGTTCAAGCCGCACAGAAATATATCACTGGTTTGGATGCTAGAAGAATTGCGAAACTCCCTGAACACAGGTGACAATTGTCATATATTTCCAGAATGTTACTAATTTTGCTTCAATTCTGATAGTTGTATTCTTTTTATTTCTCAACTAAATTTTATCAAAAAGAAATACTCAATTTTTTTTCTTTGCAATTCTATTATTAACTCTCATTTATCTGCAAGTTTATTCTCTGTACCAAACATCCTTTAGGGTGTGTTTGTCTGGGGATTAGGATTTTGAGTTGAATTTGAATAGTAAAAGTTTTGAATTTGAATAGATGTATGACCTGATATAAACAGGTGTTGATGTGATGTATTGAATGTAAAATTGATTTTTAGTATAATATAAAAAATAAAAAATAGGTATTTGATTTGATGTTTTTGGGGGTAAAAAAATGGATGAATAGTGGATTTGGGGGGAAAATCCCCCAAACAAACACACGCAACTTAGTTGATATGATGATATGCTTCTGTTCTTCCCACAAGTTTGATCCATTCTTTTGTGAAATTCTCTCTATCGATGATGATGTTTGTTGTTGCAGCGACGACAGTGAAGGCAGCGAAGACGAGTATAGTGGCTGAGCAATGAAGTTTGTCGAGGGAGGGAGGGAGTCGAGATCCCACAGTATCTATGTATGTATGTGTTTTTTGCTGAGCCTGAGTTGAGACTTGAGAGAGAGCTGAGCTACACGAGAAAGGCAAATACATACAAAAGGAAAGGCCATTGGTGAGCTCTCTCCTCTTCTTACTATTTTTTATCATAAGCCATATTCTGCTATCTATCTATCTATCTGTTTGATTATCAATTTTGCTGATGATGTATTTTCTGTAAAATTATTTTTGAAATTATAAACCATCACTATCACATTAGCGAAGAAGTACTAAAAAATACCGTGCATACTTTTGGGTACACTATTGCAATGCCCTGCCTCCTTACATACTCTCTTTGTTATGGAAAATTATGGAAACTAAGAAATAATAATATTTTAATATAAAAATTAAATATATAAAAAGAAATAAATAAAGTGAAATTATTATATAAGAAATTTTTAAGGACTTAATGACAAAGTGACAGGGTAAATGTAAAAAAGTAGCTGCAAGATTATTATTTGATAAAGTACAAATAATAAAATTATTCATGTTAAATAGGCTATATATAAATTTATGAAAATTTTACATAATTTTAATGGATTGAGGGAGTTTATTTTATCACATGATTTAAACCAAATACCTACAATTTTTCATAATAAGCTAAATTAACAGTAAGTTAATTAGCACTAAAATATATTCCCTCTGTATTAAAATAATAGTTTTAGTTTTGTTCATTTTAAAATAATACTCCCTCCGTTTCAGTCTGTCGTACTATGTCACTTTCCTTTTTTGGAAAATGATTATACACTTTAATTTTATTTTAAATTTTTAGATTTTTTTTTAAATTTTAATTAAACTAATTAGTTATCTTAATTTTAATTTATAATTATTTATATTATAGGATAATTATTTTCACTAATACATTCTTAATTATCTTTTTTTTATTTTTCACAATAAATACATGAAAGTAGGATATTTTAGTTTTTTAGAAACATTTTTATTTAGTTCTTTGTTATTTATTGTTTTTGTCTTTTCTATGTTACAACTATGCATTTTAGAAACACTCCCTCCGTCCCCACCGTATTTAAGGTATAATATTTAATTAGTTAATAATAAATAGTTATAATATTATTATATTATTATCTTTTATATAATTAATAATATTTATAGTTTTAAAATAAATTTAATCTACTATATAATTAAAAAAAATTAAAATATATGTTTAAATATTTAAAAATTATATAGTAATTAAAAAATATATTCAATATGGATATTATTTTGTAGACAATAAAATTTTCTATAATACAAGTAAATAAAAAAATATTTTTGTTTATTTATAATTAACATAAATCAATTTTATAAAAGACTTGTAGTTTTAAATATAAATAAAAATATTTATTTTTTTGAGGAGAGAGGTAGAAATAAAGGGTTTTTGAGTGGGCCCTACGTCAATGTTGTATGTTATGAGTTAATTAAGTTGATTTATATTTGTTAAATATGTTTTGGTTTAATAATTTTTATCAAAAATAAAAACAATTGCTGTAGAACAAACAAAAATAAAAATAATGTTAATAGCAGTGGGACTGAGGGATTATATTTTGGGGAGGTGGAATTCCACAATTTTTGCTTATAGGATATTTTATTTAAATTGTTAAGTTGTTGATTTATGGGTGTATTTAATCCGAATTTTTAAAAGTCTATCACTTTATCTTGAGTGTATTCAATAATTCATTAACTTTCAAAATTCATGAATTTTGTTGAATTTTTTTGTAAAATTGTTAATAAATTATATTATATAAAATTTCTGGGTATAATTTGAGATTTCTATAGGTTTTTTAACTTTTATTTAGAAAAAAATATGTAGTATTACTTTCTTTATATTATTAATAGTATATGCATTTAATACTCCCTCCGTCCAAGCTAAAAATATACAATTACTTTTGGCGCGGATGGGTAGGTAAAAACAGTAAAATGACATTTTTACCCTTACTTTTTTGGTATAAAAGTAATGATATGATGTAAAGTATGGGTATTTGTGGAAAAAATTGGGTATTTAATAAAATGGTTACTTTGTTATTGGACGTCCCAAAATAGAAATATGTATACTTTCTTACTGAACGGAGGGAGGATTATATTATAATAATAGTAAAAATTATAAATAAAAATTTTATATATTTGAAATAATACAAAATTTTAAGTAAACTTTTTTAGAAAATCAAAATTAATTAAGATAATAAATTTAATGAATAATTTAAATTAAATATTCAGTGATTGTAAAATTATAGATACATTGAATTAAAAAAAAAAATTTAATTATTATAATTATTAAAATGAAGATGAAAATAATAATAATAATAATAAATATATTTTAAAAAAATTATTGTATTTTTAATTCACAATTTTATAAATTGTAATGAAATTATAAATTAATAAATAAAATTAATTAAATTCTGTATGAATTCTTAGCATTTTCAAATTCTCTGAAATTCATTAACACTTTATTCTTTTTAATATTATAATAAAACAATTTTCTATATAATTTCAAGCTGCCGCCAAACAAATTTTAACGTACACCCGCAATCACTATATAATAATTACAAAGCCCTAATTTCAAAACCCTTCCATTCCATGGTTCCATCCGCCTCCGCCTGAGCATACTTGATTCCCACGCGCCGCCCCATATAGCCACCGTACCTATGCCGGAACGAGGAGAAGAAACACTTGTGACGCCCGGAGAAGTGCTCGGGAAGCTCTCGGAGCTGAAAGCCGGGAAGGGGGCTTACGTTTCGCCCCACGATAAAACCGTCTACGCCGCCCTCACTGGATTTCGATCCATTGTTCCTCCTCCTGTTGATTCCGATGACCTGGTAATCATTTTAGGATCCCGCCATTGCTGATTAAGTCTTTTTTTCTCACCTATTTTTCATTTTTCTATTTCGATTTCGATTTCCAATTTGTTTGTGCGTTTGTGTTTGTGGCGTATTTAGAGGCCGACGGTGGAGGTTGAAGGTCACAAGGCCCATGGTCCAGTTCCCGAGCCCGGAGCCATTGTTATTGCTAGAGTAAGGGATCTTTCAATTGGTGCCACTCATTGATTGATTGATTCATTTGTTTGTTTTAGAAATTGACAGCAGTTTTGGTGTTTTTAATTTTTTTTATTGCTGTGGTTATCTTTCTTTAAAAAAATAAAATTATTGTTTGAGGGAAAGTTTTGAATGTAAAATCAGTGAAGTTTTGAATGTGAAATCAGTGATATTTTGAATATAATATCGATGGATGTTATGTTTGGAACCGCACGGGAAGAACATGTGACTGCATAAATTAGGACTTGATTGTATCCAACATTCTGAATTTCATTGAGGAATATAAATAATTTTCTTAACGGGGAAAATACATTGGATAATTATGCGTAGCTTCGATGGAGGCAAACAAAAGGAAAAGAAAGAAACAATGGAAAGATTGTGTGTTTTTTGGATGAGAGGAATTTAATGCTAAAAAGGAAAGAAAATGGATCGAAAACTATTGCAAAATACTTATGGTTTAATTTGGTATGTAAAAGTGTTTCATTGCCATTGAAAATATATGTGAACGGGAATTTGAAATTGGAGTTATCGGCCGAGACTATTGTTTAGTGAAATTGTTTGAAGAGATATTTTTTTATGTGAAGTACAGGGAATTGTGTAAGTAATATAAAATTAATGAGTGTGTAATATATTTTATTTTTTTTGGGGGGGGGGGGGGGGGGGTAAATGTATTTGTAGGGAATTGTGGATGAGTACACCATAATTTATTACTTTTGGTTTATATGGCCGCTTCCTTCTTGTTACCTCTCGAATGAAAAATTCTCCTCATCTCAATTGTACTTTGTTTCATCATGGACAGGTTACAAAAGTGATGGCAAAAATGGCCTCGGCTGATATAATGTGTGTTGGACCAAAGTCTGTTAAAGAAAAGTTCACTGGCATAATTAGGTATAATGCATTGTTTCGATCGACTTTTAATCTGAAGTTTACGTTGCTCATTTTTGTTAAGGGTGTGTTTGTTTGGAGATTTGGATTTTGGGTTAAGATTTGAATAGTAAAAAACTTGGATTGACATAGTTGTATGGTGTGATATAAATAAGTATTGATGTGATATTTTAAATGTAAAATTGATTTTTAGTATAATATAAAAAGTGAAAAATACGTGTTTGATTTAATGTTTTTGAGAAGAATATTTTTTATGAATTGTAGAAATTTGGTAAAATTTCATAAACGAACACACGGTAAGTATAAGTCTGAATAAGTGGAATTACTGCAGGCAGCAAGATGTACGAGCAACAGAGATTGACAAAGTCGATATGCACGCATCCTTCCGCCCTGGTGACATTGTTAGAGCTTTGGTTGTATCCTCCTCAATATTATCCAATAACTTTTGTCGGGATTAAACATTATGCAATAGGATGAAATATTTAACCTTTCAATGTGAATAATTTGCCTTAACTTTGTCATGTGAAAGTTATCCTTAGGTGACGCCCGGGCTTATCATTTATCAACTGCCAGAAATGAACTCGGTGTTGTTTCTGCGGGGAGTGCAGCTGGTATGCGTTTTGTTTCCCAAAATTTATGTCGAAAGTTTGTCTATTTGTTGATCTTTTGGAAGGGGCCTTTCTATTTAAATTCATCACATAGCCGATGTGTTTTTCAACCTTATTTTTATATTATTCATTCTATCGTAAAATATCGTGCCCTCTAAATATATATATATATATATTATATCCCACAAAAAATTTATTTATTGTATTAGCATGAAGTTTGCGGTATAAAAACAATGACTATTATAACGATTAAGAATCACATGCCTATTAGCCTTTAAAGATGCTTTAATTACTTAGATAAGATTGGGGAAAGAAGCCGACATTGAGTGTGTTTGTTTAGTAATTATAATTTTAGGCATTTTTGTTGTAAAGTACGATGAATTGTAGAAGCATTATAGGAAATGATGTTTTGTCTATTTTTTTTATTGATACGATGTTTTGAATGTAAAATTAAATTTTAATATAATATAGTATAATAATAATAATAATAATAATAATGTGTTTTTGATTTAATATTTTTTGAGGGAAAAGAAAGTTTCAATAATAAAATCAGATGGAAAGTTGTACAAGTAAACATACTTATTTCTTTTACATTAAAAATTGTTACGTTTGAACTAAAAGAGTATTCAACATGGACTTCGTGCTAACATTAGGAAATTAATCCTATCAATGAAATACTAGGGGTATGTTTGTTTGTGGGTTTGGGTTTGGATTTTTTAATAGTCAAATGTTTGAATTTGAATAGTTATTTGATGCTATATAAATAGATGTTGATATGATGTTTGAATGTAAAATAAATTTGTAGTATAATATAGAAAAAAGAATCTGATGTGATATTTTTTTGAGAAAAAAAAGAATATGAATAGTAAAAATATACGGTAAAACCCACAGAAGAACGCAACCTAAATGTTTTGTGTATTTTTAATCAAATACGATGAGATGTTATGTACTTCATAGAATATTTCAAGATCAATGCAGACTCTTCTGATATCGTATCTTGCGGATGATTATTTATTTTCATTATTTCACAGCCGTAAAGAAAACTCTCCTTCATCTTTCCTGTAGGCGCCACGATGGTTCCCATTAGCTGGACGGAGATGCAATGTCCGGTAACCGGACTAGTTGAGCTGAGAAAAGTTGCTAAGGCTGGAGCCTGAGGGATGCGCGCAGAAGCCGGCATTGCGACTCAAGACTCCGGAGACATATATTTTGTGTCCTAAATGCTCCATTTATCTGAGTTAAGGTTTGATCTTAGAAGATGGCCGTTTTTGAGGTTAGTAAGGAGTTCATTCGTGGCTGTTGTATTTAGTTCGAAATGTCGCTGTATTACATGATTTTGATTTTAGAAAGGAATTATACATGTGGAGTAATGCTTGCATATTTTTAATGTAGGCAATTCTTTAAAAATTTTATTAAAAAAAAAAACTCAATATATACTACCACATAAATATGATACATATATTATTTTTCATACAAAGATTTGAAATTAACTTTAACTTTTTACTATTGGTAAGAACTTTGATAATAGGGGAATGATGAAAGGGAATGATGAAAGTGTTATGGGTTTTGAATAGTAAAATTTTAAATTGAAATAATTGTTTGGTGGGTATCGATGTGATATTTTAAATGTAAAATAAATTTGAGTGTAATATAATAAATAAAAAATTGATATTTGATTTGATAGTATTGAAAAAAAAAATTGAAAAAGTATCTAAAAAATCAGTATCAAAATCTCACAAGTAAACAAATGTGTCTTTTATCTTTAAAATATTATTTTCTTTGTCCAAAAAAATTAAGTAGATTTGTTTGGCACATAATTAAATAATAATAATATTTTAATATTAAAATTGTTATGTAATACCTTACTTGTTTTTAACCCTTGTCGATATGTTCATTTGATCGGATAGAGATTTTTGAATTTTTATTCATTGTGGGTGAATTTGATCTTATTAGATAGGTCTTCAAGTTATCTTTTCAATATCACAGACAGAGAGTCGATTGAATGTTTGGGAAAAGAGATATTTTCAATTTAGTAATAAATTGTATATTAACAATTTATGTCACAATTGTTAACTTTTAAAATTCACCATAAATTTTGTAGAGATTCAATTGATCTGAATTTTTACATATAGATAGTAATTTGAGTTAGTTATCCGTCTCCACAAACGAGAAGTCAATCGTAGGTCGGACGTATGAGTTACAATCCAAACAATGTATTAATAACCAGGTCGTACGGTCACCATACGGTCAAACGATTTAAAAAAGCATATTTTGCATATTTTGACTAATTAAAAATTCCTCAACCTTCATTTCTCCCCAATTTTGTCCTTTAACATTGGATAAAGGTTCATGGGAGGTTAGAAAATCACTTCATTTCATTCCAAGTCGATTTTTACGATTGTCTGGAGGTCCCGGCTAGCTTGGGGTTGTGCCATGTTTCCATTAGACGAGATAAGTTTACGGTTAAGGTAATGAGTTAAATTATGCGCGCTTGAAATAAATGGATCATTATGATTATGTTTTTGTAATATGTGGTGAACTTGTTGTGATATGATAATATTAATTGCTAAATAGATTCATGTGATATATACTGTGTATGATAAATTGTATATTGGGTTATTGATGTTGGCGGACAAATAATTATTGTAGATTTGACTAGATTTAGTTGATGATTGACAAGTCGATTGATAAATTATATAAGCCATGGATTTGACTAGATTTAGTCGTTGATTGACAAGTTGATTGTAACTTGTATTAGCCGTGTATTTGGCCAGACTAAGCCATTGACTAACAAGTTAATTGGTAAATTGTATAAGCCGTGGATTTGACTGGAATTAACCGTTGATTGGCAAGTCGATTGATAATTTTTATAAACCGTGGATTTGGCTAGACTTGGCTGTTGATTGACAAGTCGATTGTAAATTGTATTAGCCGTGCATTTGGTTAGACTTAGCCGTTGATTGGCAAGTCGATTGATAAATTGTATAACCCATGCATTTGGCAAAACTTAGTCCTTGATTGGTAAGTCGATTAATAAATCGTACAAACTGTGGATTTCGATTAATAAATTGTGTAAGTTGTGGACTTAATTAGACTTTGCAATTGATTAACAAGTCGATTGATAAATTGTAATAGCCATGGATTTAGCTAGATTTAGCAATTTTGACAAGTTAATTAACAATTGCGTGAGCCGTTAACTTGGCTAGACTTAGCGGTTACTTGACAAATTGATTGATAAATCGAGTTATCCGTGAATTTCGAATTGTTGTAGTTGTTGCTTGTCAAATATTTATTGTTGATAATTTACTGTATATTTAATCTCTTATACATCTTATGTTAAACCTTCGTGATGATTATTATAAACATGCATAATTTTCTATAATTATATATTTTAAAGTAATTGTAGATATTGATAAAAATATTTTATGACTTACATAAAAAATATATATACTTTTATTTTTATTATATTTTAGCTTTGGCATCGAAAGATGCATTATTATTTCAGTGTTATATGTGTCATTCCATAAAATTATTTGAATGTTGCAACACATAAAAAAAAGTACACTTGGAATATTACTAAAAATTTATTAAATTATTAATAAAAAATAATTAAATAAATAAATAAATAAATATTGACAAATTAATTATTATTTATTAAAATAAATAAATAAAATGATCTAATTATATATAAATTATGCATAAATTTAACTGACAAAAAATAAATAGTGATGCTTCCTTTGTCCCGGTGTAAGGTTGTCGTTTTATTTTTTGTATGTAGATTTTTGAATATTTGTATTATAATAGATTATAGTAAAAAAGACGAAAATACTCTGTGTAATATAAAAATAATGACATAGTGTATTTATTATGTTAAGTAAATTGTCCAATTAAACGAGATCGGAAATGGAAAATGTTAAACGGAGGGAGTATAATTTTTTTAAACAAAATATTAGGATCTTAAATTAATATTGCAAATATGTGCCACGTGTCAACACCAAATTGGTGGGAAAAAACGCTACGAAAAGAATTAAATAAATATAAATAAAAAAAAGTAATGCGATAACTGCCAAAATCCTTCCTTCATCCGCTCTCTGGACACAAAAATGGCTGCCGCTTCTCCTTCCTCTCTCCTCCTTCCTCTCCCCAACTTCTCCTCCACCTCTCGATTTCCTCACCGCACTCGCTCTCTTCCGCTCTTCAAAACAACAGAATCGAAATCCTCAATTAAGCCTACTACTACTACTGCTACGGCGTTTGCTCTGACGGAATCATCATCAGGCTCCCCGCAATCCCTCGGCCCGGACCTTCAAATTCTTCTCCAGGAGCTAGCTGTATGAGCTAATGTGTTAATCTCGCTTCTTTTTTTTATTTTTTTTTTTTCATTCTCATTTTGCCTGAATTTTACAGCTAAGCGTTCATAAATACAGTGCTGTTGTTTATGTAGTTATACGGTTGTTGAATGCAGGATTGCTTTGTTCTTCCCGATGATTACTTTCAGCAGCTGCCACGGGACCTTCGTCTCGATGTAAGTCCGTTTTTAGAGGAAATTTTGCTGCTGCTGCTGCTTCTATTAAGGTCTTTGTGCTAAAATTTTCTTCTGTGATTTTTTTTTTCAAAAAATTGATACCTCTGGTCAGAATTCTTGATTGAATCTTTGGATGATCCTCGATTGAAATTTGTGTTCTCAGAATAGGATCAAATTATAACTTATTAGAAAATGTTTATATTGTTAGATATGCCTTAAATTTAGTTTGCCATTGATTTTACTGGATCTCACTGCCGGTCAGCGAGGGGGGTTAAGGGCTCCGTGCCTGGGTCCGGGAGCGCGGAGTGTCCCCCAGCCCGACGATATGCAGTATTGGGCTTTGGAGTTGGCATTGGAATGATGTATTCTCTTAGTTTATTTGAATAGATTTAGAGATATAAAATCTGTAATTTAATATGTAACACAACCGTCCTCCGTTTTTTACCGTGAACATAGTCAACACGTTGTTGGTGAACCACGTAAATCTATGTCGTCTGTTTATTTGTACTTGATTGATTGTTGGTAATGTGGTGTTGAGGATTTTTGGAAAGTTTCTCTACACCTCCCATGACCAGCTATATTGAATGGAATGGAATGGAATATAAATAGCCAGCCAGCCAATGTTCCCTCTTCATCATCTGGTTGGGTGGTAGATCATTTATTCTGGTTGGGTGGTAGATCAGTTATTCTGTTTCTACATTTACCATTCAATGTTGTTGGCATAAGTTTGGCTTTTATATATTTATGGTATTTTATTTTATTAAAAATAATATAAACAATACTAGATCAACTCGCACACGATTCATTTCATGACAGTGGCGAGGTCACCTCACATCCAGTTGTTGCTGAAAAATCAGGATGCAAATAAGAACACAAGAATTTGGTTACCGAGTTTGATCAAGATGATCTACATTTTGGGCGTTGTTAAGGCAAAAATTTTACTATAAAATACACGGAGGACATGTAAAAGTGAGAACACATAAATATTTAAAGTCTAAGCCAACACGTTGGTGAACCACGTAAATCTGTGTCTTTTGTTTATTTTATATATTTATGGTATTTTATTTTATTAAAAATAATATAAACAATACTATATCAACTCGCACACGATTCATTTCATGACAGTGGCGAGCTCATCTCACATCACCACACATACAGTTGTTGCGGAAAATTCAGGAAATTAAGAAGATGCAATCAGGAACACAAGAATTTGGTTACCGAGTTCGATCAAGATGATTTACGTCTGAGGTGCTGCTAAGCCAAGAATTTTACTATAAAATACACCGAGGACATGTAAAAATGAGAATACATGGATATTTGAAGTCTAGGTCTACGCCAATAATATCCAAATTATATTTAAATCATATTCCTAAAGATATAGGCTTCATATCCCAATAGTCTCCTATTTGAAGACTGATTGATTGCATCTCACTTTAACATTTTACTTTATCGGCAATGATAGCGCCAAGCCACATTCTTCTATCATCGAGGCCAATTGAGGTTAAACACAACCTCAATTTATCTAAGGTCACCACATTAGTCTAACTTGTCGGCTGGATTTTTCAATCCTTGAATTTTCTTCAATTTCAAAATCCCTCTCTCCAATAGCTCACGAACGTAGTGAAATCTCAACTCAATATGTTTTGTTCTTGTATGGAATGCAGGATACTTTTGCCAAGTGGATTGTGCCCTGACTTTCGCTATAAAAACTACTATTTTTCGGATCTCTGCTCAACACAAGCATGAAGTTTTGTAGCCAAATCATCTCCTTGCTTGCCTCCATCACTGCAATGTACTCAACTTCTATTGTTGACAGAGCAAATACCTTTGTAACTTCGAAGTCCATAATATTGTTGTCCCACTATAAGTAAACACATTTCCATACGCGCTCTTCCTCTTAGTCACTTCTTGCCCAGTCGGCATCCACGAATCCAGCCAAGCAAGGCACCTTTCTCTTGAAGATCACTGTAGTAAATACCTCAGTATCCACTTTACTTCATCCTAATGTTGCCTTACAGGATTGCTCATAAATCGGCTCACTACTCCCACTGCATGTGTTATATCCAGCCTTGTAGCAGTCATTGCGTACATCAAGCTTCCTATGGCAGCTGCATATAGAACACTTTTCATCTCAGGACGTTCCGACTCATTCTTTGGTGAGTCTAAAGGTGCGCTAACAGGCTTTGCATCAACTATTGAACCTCATCAAGACCTTTTTTACATATTTTGCTTGCAAGAGATTCAACCTCCCACTATCTCGGTCTCGACTTATTTGCATGCCCAAAATCTGTTTCGCCAATTGTTGTTTCAACTTTGCAACAACCGGTATCAGAGCCCCAAGATTCTTTTGAGTGGAAGTCAAGATGGATGATCGTCATGCTGTAAAGGTATTCAATTGAATGAACTTCGGTTTCTGGAAAATACAGATAAAAGATTATCTGTGTGGTAAAGATCTAGATGCAGCGCCGAAGGAGAAACCCTAAAAGATGGATGAAGTCGAATACAAGAAAATCGACAGGAAGATGATGAGTGTGATTCGACTAACCCTTTCGAAGAATGTCTCGTTTCACATGGTTCATGCATAATCGACATTGGAAATTTTGAAAATCATGTTGGATATGTACGAACAATCGTGTGCTGCAAACAAGATGTACCTGATGCAAAAACTGTTCAACATGAGGATAATTGAAGGGACTTTTGTTGCTGTGCATTTAAACGAATTCAACCTGATCCCTGCGCAATTGCGATTAGTGAATCTTGAATTTGATTTAGAGATCAAAGCTGTGATTCCGCTATCGTCTCTGCCGGATAGTTAGAATTCGATAGTAACAACCTTGAGTGCGGCTTCTTCGAAAAAGAAGAAGATGAAGTTTGATGCAATCAGAGATATAATCTTGAACGAGGAGACCTGGAGAAAATTGGGTAAGAATACTGAATTTGGATTTGAATCAGCACTTAATGCCGAAAATAGGGGTAGATTTGAGGCGAAGGGAAAGGGTCAAGATCAAGAATAGTCAAAGTCGAAGCCAAAGAACAAGGACAAGATATATGCAAATCAGGTGGTACGTTGAAATTGCAATAAAAAGGGCACTTGATAAGATAGTGCAAGGCGCTGGAGAGAGATCAGGATTCGGAAAATGCAACGGGGGAGATATCCAATCCGCTGATTCAGAGCGTCGGCAGTCCAATGAAGTCATTGATCTTGGACTCAGGAGCATCATTCCACTCATACAGTGATTCGGGAATCATGAAATCCTACACCACAGGTAATTTTAGTGTTGTCTATATTGCAGATGACGAGCCACTAAAAATTGTAGGTAAGCGGATGGTTCAAATCAGAACACCGAATGGAAGGGAGTGGAGACTGAATAACGTGAGGCATGTCCTGGGTCTGAAACGGAATCTGATTTCCGTGGGACAATTGGATGAGGCAGGTTGCTCGACAGTTTTTTAAACTAAGTGGTGGTGGCTCAAGGGAGAAAAGATGACACTTTTTATATGTTTAACATTATAAGAGACAGAATCGTTTCCGTGGCCATTCTCGTCTCGGAAACATGAGCAAGAAGGGGATAAAAGAGCTTAGAATTATTTGAGTGAATCATTGGATGATCATGGAGTAATATTTGTGTTAACTCAGAATAGGATCGAATTATAACTTATTAGAAAATGTTTATTACACAATCCAATCAACTGTCTAGTTTATTCGTTTTGATTCTCTATCATTGTACTCCAAAATTCCTCAACATTGTATGTACTATTGGGTGAAATCAAATAGAAACTTATGGTGACATTATTTTTTTTTTATAACGTGGAAACCCGCAGCCGCTACTCATCGAATGCGCTATGCAAACTAGGTCTGACAAGGCAAGTCAGACTAGACGAACCATGTGTTGCAGGTAAACTTAAAGGTGTCAAGGGTTTGAACCTTACGGTCACGAGTTCACCACACACCACCAGACCATCTCTTACGGGACGGCAAAATAGTTTATTTGATTTCACATGAAAGATGCTTTTCCCCAATAATGTGTTTGTTAAGAGAAGAAAAAAAGGTCTTATTTGCTTACAAATTTTATTACTTTTTTGATACCATTGACATGATATTAGAATTTAGATCATATTGACATGAAACATAAATAATTTTTTATCTTATTCCTCTGTCAGCCTGATTGGCTGATGTATTCGGCGATTGTGTGTACGTACAATCAAACTCTCTAACATGACATCGAATTTGGAAGCACGAAGTCCATGTTGTGAGATTTAAGCTATAGGATTTTGGAAAAATTCCTAATTAAACTTTGAGATATAAATTCTATAGAACTGAACCACATTTGAAATGATCAATAATAAATAACAAGAAAAAATTTAAGAAGAAGAAAAATATATGTAGACAAGCTCTGAATTCAAAGCTAAATGCATAATTTGTTGACAAAAACCCGTCAGTAGAGGTATATGACCAAAAAATGTTATTTTTAGTATCAATGGGACCAATATTATTAAAATTTGTAACGGGACCTAAAATTTTTAATTTGAAATATTACTGGAACCTGGTTGGATTTTCGGTTTCCCCTATTTACTTAGTTAAATTTGAATGAGAGTCAACTTGTTGTAAGTTTAAAAAAAAATGAAAAAAAAAAAAAAAAACTCTGCAGCTCATAATCTATACAATCAACTAACATGGTGTGTTAATTCTAGTTCCACAGGCAACTATGGTGACATGATCCAACACTGCTTGAAAATTTCTTCAGTTTTAACAGCAAAAGTCTTGCGAGATTAAAATTGCATTAATTTGACCTTAAATTGATATTCTTGTTCAACAATATGGTTGTAATTTAGAAATGTATTCTTGAGGATTAAAATTGCAACGAAATGTTTTTTTGCGACCAGACTTGCTATTTTTCATGGTATCATGGACAAGAAAGTGCCTTTCTTTGTTAGTTTCTGTGGCTTGTTTAATTTTGGGGCATAGTTTTTCTTGTCGTCTATATGCTGTGCTTCAATGACTGGCCTTTCCAAGCAATTTTTGTACAAAGTTTCATAAATATATGGTCGGAAAAAAAAAAAGAAAAAAAGTGGATTCTAGCATTGTGTGCGTGTATGCATATATAAAGAAATTTGTAACAATGATGTATGCTGAAATGGTTCCCAAAGTTCTTCACAGATATTATTGTTAATTTTTCATTAGGGAGCAAGCTCGCCTAATGAGTGTAAAAATGATTGGCTGCACATTGAGCATTTTTAGACCATATTCTGTTCTAGCAAGAAGGAAAGATTTATTTAGTTTTGTTTCGTCTTGTTTATTTATTTACCCCTCATTTGCTTTATTCTTTTTCCTGGTTGCTGGTTTCTTTCTTGACTTTGTTATAGGACAAATTCTCATCCTAGAGATAGTCTGACTAAGGTTATTTGATAATTTTGAAGCTGAACGATGCTGCTTTTGATCTTTCAAATGGCACTGTGAAAGATGAGGTCAGTATTTAGCACTTCATTTTACATTCAGAGTAAACGGAAAATAATTAATGTCTGATCAATGTTATCTTTTACACAAAAAAACAAGGAAAAAACGAAAAGGCTTTTTATATGTGAATAAGATAAATAAAATAATCTTGGTTAGATTCTTCGTCTTAAGGCTTGACTTGATAAAGCTTCACAATTGTAGAACGATGGATAAATGATATAACATTTGTTTTTTTTATATCCAGTTCTGAAATGTAGTTACCCGAAGATGAAAGTAATTTATTTAGTTCATTACTTTAAAAAATGAACATAGGTTTTAGTCCGTCGATGATAATGCTAAGCAAGATTAGGGATTTATATAGATTAAGCAGGTCGACAAGACTCCCGCGTACTAAAATATCATGAACCATCTAAAAGTTGTTAATGAATACAACGCGAAATTAGGCTTAGATAATCAATTTTTCTAAAGAATTTTCACTTATCAAAATTCACGATTTAACAATCAAATATAAACGTGGAATTGGGGATGAAAATGTAGGCGGAGAACATCATGATATTTCATTTATGAGCTATTGAAAACAAGAAATCTACATTATGGAAGCAATAAATTGAAAGCAACAACAAATATGTAAATCTACCTATAAAAGCAACTGACTTAGCAGTTAGGGGAGGAGAGAATCTCCTCTCCCTCGACCTCCACCAACTAAAAGAACTCCTTTAAAGGATTGGAGCTCCCGAAAATTGAACATAGTAAAAGAAAAATGAACAATGGAATGTAGTAGTTTTTTTATAAAAGAAATCTGACCCTATTTATAGAGTTTTTGGATCGGCAGTTGAGGAGTTTCAGAGCAGTAGTTGAGAGCAGTTGAAAGACTGTTGTAGCCGCTAGATAGTTGGGCGGTTGATCGGTCGGAACTGCCTTAAATCTCAGCTTGCTCGCTTGGTTGGTCTGACATTGTTGTGGCACAAATCTTCCTCGCTTGCGTGGCTTGGCTTGGTTGGCTGGAGGGCATCGGCACAACTTCAAGATCTCGCTTGTTAGTGGTGGATGTTTGGCCGTTGGCTCGGGCACAAGCAAAAAGAGCATCCCTTGTCACAACGGGGCGCACCCTCGTTTGTCTTCCATATTTAGTCAATTTCTGAGCCAGAACATCGCTTAAAAAAGCTAAAAACATCAATAATCTCAACAAACAGACTTTGGATAAAGTATGCCATAAATCAGATATTGTGACGTTTTCGCATAATAATTCAAGCAATACACAGTTTTATCAAGCGGTAAATATGCTATTCTTTGGAGTTATCAAATCTTCTCAAACTAAACATTTGTTCGTCCTCGAACAAACACAATTACACGAATAGAGAGTTAACCCATTCAAGACAATCAAATATTGTATAAGATCAATGTCATGGTTGTGAATAAAGTGAATCTAATATATAAGCAATTGATCTTTTAAGCATTCAAACTTGCAATCCGATTTAAGCTATAATAACTTTGCTCTCTTGGAAAGGAATCTTTTTTATAAGGTGATCTTCAGCCGAAAGGCACAATTTTTTTTTTTTTTACATCGCTCATTATATTTCGCGACGGATCACAGAGTTTCAAATATTGTGTTTGCTTGTGATCTTATATACTTTTTCATCACAACTATAGGCCTTTTCAGTCCCTTTAATAGTAACTGTTTCCCGCTCCGCTTGCATCGCTTCTCAAACCAAATTTAAGGACTTCTTACTTCAATGTTATCTTATATAAAATAAGTTGATAGACAAAAGTTCGTTTACCCTACTGAGTATGGGATAATTGAAACGAAGGGGGCACTAACATTTTCAAGTCATATCACCGGTTATTTGACTTAACTCAACATCATATTATTGAATAAGGTGAAGGAAAAATTACTAAGTTCAGCCCTTGCGAGTGATCTAACTCTATTCTAAAACATATTAAAAGCCTAACTCAACAATGTATTACAAAAGTTAAAATAATCACGCATGCTTGCAATTATAATAGGCACATAGTATTGATAAATTTTTAACTTATTACCAAAATATGTCGTGTCATTGATCATCAAAATTTTTTGTACAAGCCCATCGTTCTTTCACAAAAGCATGAATAATTGGGTAAAAGACTATCGTTTGCTTCTTCTTACTAATCATCTAAGAGTCCATGTCTCAATTTTCCAAAACCGTCTAGGAGTCATGCAACTTCTGATCAACTTTCTGCTGATATTGAACCATTGCAAAGTGTTGTTCCATCAAAATGACATTATGGCTGGTCAACATTGCGTTGCTTTGGATTAAATCATTCTGTCCACACATTACGTTTTCCAGCATCTTTCTCCCTATATCAGCTTGGTCTTTTAGTTTGGTCACTCTTGCATTAATGGAGGCAGCGGTATATTGAACTTGAGTGGTGCTAGCCTCCATCGCAGTGATCCTTTTATTATTATTTGCCAAGTGGCCAATCAATTCCTCAATGTGCTTCTTTGTCATCACTTGGTTATATACGAAATGACTTGTCAGCACCTCATCCAAGTCATCCAGTCTTTTCTCAATTGATTCGAATGCCGCTCGAAGTGCAAAAGTGCTAGCCTCAGTGGTCTCAGGTGACTGTTGCTGAGTTTCGGATGAACTGATATCCACTGGCTTTGCTCGCTCTTCTTCCATTGGCTCGGGTAGTGGTTCAGGGGTGGCTTACTTCAATAAAATCATATGGCGCGCTGCTTCGTACTCTTTTTGTTCCCTCTCCGCTTTTACAATTTGAAAATATCCTCTGAAACGCAGTTGGAGTTGGGTCAACGACTTCTACCACTTTAGTAAGCAAGCCAATGTCTTCATCTTCTTCCTTTTTGTCCGCTCGTGCTGCTGCTCTCTCTCCAATCTCTCTATCTCTGCAAGCAGTCGAGCCTTTCTCTCGTTAACCACTCTTTCCTTTCATCCTCCTCAATTATTGTAGTTTGATCAAATTTGGTTAATGGCGGAGTCAGAGTAGTCGTTGGTGTCACTTCCTAAGGCGTTTGGGGGTTGTATATGATTGGTTCCTCTTTGCTTGCCCCCAAGGTAGTTGTCTCAGCAGCTCGTGGAAAAAACTTGTAAAATGGGCAATTTTGTTATTATTGCCTCAACCCTGGCGGTTTCATCGGAAGGTTCAATGGCGGTGGCAGCGGATACCTCAGCGGATTTTTCCTTAAAAGTTCTCAACAGTCATGTTAATTCCACTAATGGTTTTTTCCGTTAGTACAGTCTCCCACTCCTCCTATGTTCCAGCAAAGGCTAGCTCACCCATCCCCACTGTTTAAAAAGAATGAGTATATCGACGATCGGACTAATTTGTCGAAGAGGTGTAGCTTCTTTTGGCTGGCTTGCTGCATCGATTTTAGAAACGATATGCCATTTGTTGATGATATGTCATTTTAAGATTACGGCAAGTGTGCACAAACTTGTCAAACTCCTTGAAATTGTCCTTCTTTCTGAGCCTCATGGGGAAGGGATCTTTGGTTATCGCTTTGACTTGGCTCCTTTTTCTGTTGAGTTTGGCTCGTGGCTCGGCTGGACTTACTTCCTCATGCTGGGTTTAAATATACTCATCCTCTGCACTGGCAATGAATTTAAAGCAACATGAGAAGGGAATCGATCAGTACCTCGATTTGGAAGCGGTGGTGATGAGGTGCGCTCCTCCTTTCTTGGACCACCTGGGTTGGGACCCACTGGCTGCCGCTGATGGGATAGATAATACATGCATAAAAAATCGATGAGGCGGTCTGCATGGCTTGGCGTCGGCATCCAGAATGATATAGTGCATGCACACCGCTGGGTTGATGCCTTTAATGTGTGAGATTTTCTATACAAGCGTCGTCTTTCTTCTCCTGAGTAGGGCTAGCCCCAAGAACACATACTTCAAATGTTCCGTTAGCTCCTTCAAGTCCTCCTTTCAAGGGTGGACTCACTATCTGGTTCTCCCTTGGCTTGCTCAATGGATTCATTATGGCTTGTGATTTCACGGCTTGGATCGTCTGAGTATTCCAAAAGCTACAGCTTGAACAAGTCTTTATCTGAAATTTATTGTATAAATTCCAGCGTTAATAGGTTGTCAAGAGTATTTAACTCGTTAATTTCAAGAACATAGTTGTTATTCTCATCCTATGGCTGAGTTAAAGCTTTCTTCAGGGAGAATGTGACTTTGTCTCTACCAACGCTCAGTGTGATTTCGCCTTGAGCTACATTGATATTAGCTTAAGCGGTGGCAAGGAAAGGTCTTCCCAGAGTTATTGGAATGTCGCGACCCTCGCTCATTGCCATTATAACGAAATATGCGTTGAAGATAAATTTGTTTATTTGCACCACTATATCATAAATAATCCTTTTCGGGAGTATTATTGATTTATCTGCAAGCTGAATTACAATACGACATGGCTCAAGCTCACACAGTCCTAATTTATTGAAAAACGATAAAGGCATGAGATTAATAATATCTCCTAAGTCACACAATGTCCTAATCGGCTTCAAATTTTCTATTTTACAAACAATAATAAAAATGCCAAGATCGCTCAGTTTCTTTGGGAGGTCTTCGGTGAACATTGCGCTTCACACACTCTCCAGCTGAATTGCTGCATCGATTTTAGAAACGGTATGCCATTTGTTGATGATATCTTTGATAAACTTGGCGTAGTGTGACATCTGTAGCAAAGCACCAGTAAAAGAAGTGGTCATTTTAAGATTACGGCAAGTGTGCACAAACTTGTCAAACTCCTTGAAATTGTCCTTCTTTCTGAGCCTCATGGGGAAGGGATCTTTGGTTATCGCTTTGACTTGGCTCCTTTTTCTGTTGAGTTTGGCTCGTGGCTCGGCTGGACTTACTTCCTCATGCTGGGTTTAAATATACTCATCCTCTGCACTGGCAATGAATTTAAAGCAACATGAGAAGGGAATCGATCAGTACCTCGATTTGGAAGCGGTGGTGATGAGGTGCGCTCCCCAATCTTTGTCTCCCGCTCCTCCTCTGGTCCAGCAGCAGCTGC